CAATGTGATTTTCTGGATTTTTGTTTTAGATTCTGTCTCTCACAGTTGAAGTGTACCTATGATAAAAATTACAGACCTCTACATGCTTTGTAAGTAGGAAAACCTGCAAAATCGGCAGTGTATCAAATACTTGTTCTCCCCACTGTATGTGGGGCAACAAATATTTGTATTTGTTCCCACTTAGAAACTTCATCATTTGACAATGTCTTATCAGCCAGGCTTAGTGGGAGACGTTTAAAAGCTACATTGTTTTCTATGCAGCATAAAGCACTGTTTCTGTCTCTAATATGCCATGTTTGCTTCCCCTTGTGGATTATTGGTTTGTTTGACTCAGTAAGTAAATCTACCCTGTTTATCATTTCCACTTTTTTTCAATTGTAAGGGGTAGAATAAGCACCCCTTTAGATTTAGATATGAAGCAGGAAGCAGCTGCCAGTTTGTAGTATTTGTTTTGAAGTATATGGACATCACCCTCTAAAAGATGTCTCCTGCAATAGAGCAATGTCAACTTGATTCCTATGTAATAAGTTAAGACATTTAATTTGCTTACTTGGCTCATTAGAACCCTTCAGATTACAGGAAATTATCACTAAATTAGCCATGATCCATCTGTGGTGATGTGAATACCAGTTTGATGGATTAAAGGGGGGAAAGGTAACTTATGACTATTCAGTTGCCAACTAAATAATTGTAAACCAGATATTCCAGAAAAAAAACAGTATACATATTCATTGTTGGATAAAATTATATATAAAATTACAAAACCCTTCAGATTGCCATTCCACCCCAAGAACCCTGCAAAATGTATAAAAACTATTTAAATAAAGAATCCTTCCCCTCCCCGACAGGTTAGGACACAACAGTCCTCCCTCTCCACTCAATGTTAGACCCGTGACTGAACGCAACGGTGTCTATCACTAAAACCCTCCCAATACCCCTCAATGTCTCACTACATTTCCTAAATATCTTGCATTAACTGACACAATGGAGATATGAGAACGGCAAGAATTGATCAATTGACTGAATGATTAAGCCTTAACGTAACATGGAGAACTAACTTGCAAAATAATTAAGTGGTGATAGTGATAGTTGACTTCTCTAGCTACGCAGTTGTCATAGCAACATGAGACACTTTAGCTAGCCAGCTACCACCAGACAAAGTTATCTCATCTAACTTAGTTGTAAAATACTATTTTAGTTTATAGAAGCTAGATAAACTTTCAACAACATATAGGTTATACTGAATACTACTGAAGAGTTAATCAGTTGGTTAGCTAACAGTTGTGATGATGACTTACTTAGTTAGCAGCTAACGTTAGCTGTAACGTTAACTTACTGCCCCAATCACCCAGCTATTTCGCTACGCCCGAAAATAACATCTGCTAAACATTTATGTGACAAATCAAATTTGATTTGATCTGGAAAGCTAGTTCACTAGCTAGCTAGCTTGCTGGTGCTCCTTTGTGGAAGTTCATAATGATCACAAGTAATTAGATCAAATGTTCCTCAAAACTCCTTGAAGTTCCATACGTTCCCCAGTGCTTGCATGGCCCTGTTGTTGAGTCTTCCTCCTCACAACAGGACCAGAGGCGTGATGCTCACTGCGGTGCTCGTGGTTGTCCTCTCCCAGTGATGCCAAGAACTCCTCTGCGTCTTGTGCTGTGGTGAATGACAGGTGCTCTCCCCTGTGTGTGGCCCGGAGCGTTGCTGGTTAGACAAGGAATGACTGGATGCCTCTTAGTCTGAGTTTGTTCCGGATCTCTTTAAAGACTTTGCGGCGTTGGGAGGTGTGCTTGCTGTAGTCAGGGAAAAACCGCAGTACCTTACCGGTGTGGTGAATGAGCTCTGCTGCTCTGGCTCCTTGTAGAATGGCTTGGCGGTCGTTGTACCGGAGGACCTTGAAGATCAGCATCCCTGGTCTGTCTGAAGCATTACTAGTCCCAGGTCCCGAGTAGATGTGATGGGCTCTTTCTATCTCAACCTTGTAATATATGGATGAGATCCATTTAGGGATAATTCTCTGTAGGAATTCGATTTGATCGTCAGTCTCGTCTCCTTCTTTTAAAGAAATGAATCTTACATTTGTGCGACGTGAACGGTCCTCCATTTCAGCCATCTTGAGCTGCATCTTCTCCAGTTGTGAAGAACAGTCGTTGATTTTCCATTTTCTTTCCCTATTTTCACCTTGCAGATTGTCCACTTTAGTAGACAGATTGTCAATCACTTTCATCTGTATCTCAACGTTGATTGTAAGAGCTTCAACAGCCGCTAAAGTCTCTTGATGTTTTCTGTTGAGTGGTTCCACCGCCTCAGCTAACACCCGTTGTAGCATATCCTTGAGAGAGTTCTGTTGCTTGGCTGACGCCTCAGAAATCACGCCAGCTATGAAGGCCTCAGTTTCAGTGCTGAGGGCTGTCTTCTGACGCTTAACTATAGGGGAAGAAGTCGGAGAAGCGCTGTTTTTCTTGCCTCCTTTGGTAGTCGGCGTTGTTATTCAGTCTTGGGTTCGTTTTTTAAGAGTTCATTATTGAAATAATGTAATAAAATATGAAAAAATAGGTATTGTGTTTGCAGAGCTCTAGTGACTAGCAACCATAACGCCCGTTGGTCACGTGAAGTCCCGACTTAATGGTTCTTCTGAATCACACAGACAGCAGAGAGGTTCTTAAGGATGTGCTTGATAGGAGTAGGGTGAAGAAGTTACCCCTAGAAACTGATCTAAAGTCAGATTAGTTTTTCCCTACAATGGATAAGGTAGTGTTTCGAGGAAGGGTAATCTGATTACAGATCTCTGTTTAATGACAACCTCTACCCAGTACTGGTTGGTACAGGAGGAGGTTAAAGAGAAACCAGCAGCCCTCCCTCGTCATCACCACGTCAGAAGTTGAGCCTAACTAATGAAATGGAACACTTGAGAATTGTTTTAGCTTTATGATTTAACAAGCTCAATGCAATGAGGCGTGACATTTTGCAGGCATTACATGTGTGTTCCAGATACTCTGTGTGGTGTGGGGGCACTGCAGTTTGTTGTCAAATTTTACAGGAAATAAAACGAGGGGCATTATTTATAGTTAAGGCCCTATAAAATCGTGATGCAGAGAAGGTGAACGGAATCACGGAATCCAGACATTAAAATGTAATTCAACAATATTAAAACGTATTGAACTTAGTAGGAAATCAGTTAATTTGCCCAAGATTATGATAAGACATGAACAAAATGCATAGCCTAAGTGAAGAGGCAATGGCGAGGGAATGCCCCTGTCTGTGTGTGCGAGTTTGTCTACCACTTTATGTAGCAGTTAGCGATGATGCTAATGACAACTGCCTTCTGGTAGATGGGAAGGGTTTCCCAAAAACCTTCTCAATTAAATGTTCACTACAAAGTAGTCTATGCCTACCTGGCAGAATGAGATCATGATTATTTGCATCAATCCAGTGGTGATTTGTTTAGCAAACTCAGCAATCACGTGTGCTACTGAAACACCGCTAACCAGTGTTGCCAACTCCTCAGTAAGGAAAGTAGCTATTGGCTGTCCTAAAAGTCGCAAGAAGTTGCTAAATGACGTCATCACCTAATTTGCATAATTGGCCATGTGCATGTAATTGTGATGGACGCTGTAAGAGAGAGGAATAACGTCGTGGGAGAGACAAAAAGTGAGTAAAAAACGACCTACATTTACATCCCGCCCTGAATGTAAGCCAGGGTGGGATCAGCCAGCGGTGGCTTCCCGCATGCGCGATTCATTAGTCTGGACGCGGAGGGGTGAACATCTCCTGCTCTGACTGCAGCTGGGAGGGACTGCTGCGCGAGGACTGGGCCGCCTGTGAGTGCTTTGGGACGGGGGGTAACAAAGCACCCGCTGCTCGTTGAGAAGAGTAAGAACGATACGTGCTTTCACGTCAGAGTCTCCAAAATTCTCCAATAACACCAGAAAAAGTCACTAGATTTGTCGCTAGTCGCTTTTTGAAAATTTACCAGAGTTACTGGAATCTATGGCAGGTAGCCTAGTGGTTAAGAGCGTTGGGCCAGTAACTGAAAGGTCAGAGCGTTGGGCCAGTAACTGAAAGGTCGCTGGTTCGGATCCCCAAGCTGGCAAGGTGGAAAAATCTGCCTTTCTGCCCTTAAGGAAGGCAGTTAACCCCCAACAACAACTGCTCCCCGGGCACTGATGACGTGGACGTCAATTGTAAGGCAGGCCCCCGTACCTCTCTGATTCATAGGGTTTGGGTTAAATGCGGAAGACATATTTCGGTTGAATGCATTGACTAGGTTTTCCCTTTCCTTAACTTTGGTAATTTATACTTGAATAACAAAAATGTTTTAGAAATGGATGTGTCCATGACTTTCTAGTGGACAGACCATATGGTCCAAGAGAAAATACCCAAATGAATGAAAAAAACATCTAATCAACAATGGCATTGTTTTCAATTATCTCTTCCAACTTTTTCACAACTGCCACCAGTTTGGAACCAAGGATTTACATATTGACATAGTAAAATAAATAAATACAAAAATAAAGGATATTTCATGCTGAAACCCTCATATTAAACACCAATTGTATTCACTAAGTTGATTGCTTATATTAGGATAATGTTTTACAGAGGGACAGAGATAATTACAGATACCTGTGATAATCAGAATTTTCATCTGATAAAATTCACAAAAGTTACACAAATTCTGGTAGTTTTCTGGTAAACTTAGAAAGTTTCAAGTAATATACCCTTTGCACCCCTAGTCAGAACCACATTCCTCATACAACCAACATGTTGATTGGAATAAGCTTAGCACAATACCTCTGTGAAAGGCAAAATAGTATTTTGGCCTTGTTGAGTTGATTCTGAAAGAGTGATCTATTGACATGCTATTGACCACTCATGTTTGTTTTAAAGGAGTAGACGCTGTGCTTTTCCCAAAGTAATTTCTGCTGTAGTGTTTCACGTCTCATGTATAGGCCTAGTCACTCATCATGTGTCTCCACTCACTCTCTCTCTCCTTGCAGCCCCATGAGTTTGACGAGTGTCGTTTTGACATCAGTGTGAACGACAGTGTGTGGTACCTACGGGCAGAGGATCCAGAGCACCGGCACCAATGGATCGACTCCATTGAACTACACAAGGTAAGACTGAAGGATCTCTCTCTCTCTCTAACTCTCACTCTCTCTCACTCACACAGTAGTGAGATATACTAGAGATATTCCCCTTGGCATGTGCTGGGGCAATTTACATTTCTTCTCTAATACTTTCAGATCTACACAGTAATTGCACCAGCCTAGTGGTTGATTTGGAATAGAACGAGAGGTAGCCTAGACTAGAGGTTGGAGAGGTAGCCGGAAGTTTGCTGGTTCAGGTCCCGGGCAAAGAAATACAAACAAGTGAGATATAGTGGTGTAAGAATATTTGAAGATAAATACACAATGCGGAGGACTAGTGGTCAATAGAGGACTAGTGGTCAATAGAGGACTATAGATCAATAGGGAATTAACAATCAATGGAAATAGTTGTTTTTCAGTTCAACATATGTTTAGAATCTGTGTATGGGGTTTCAGTCCAGGATTCATATCTACATGTGGCAAGTTCTCATTGGTGGAAATTGTCTATACATTGAGCCTGAAACAAGATACTTGGGGTTTGGCCATTGGCCCAATTTTATTGCATGGAATTCTAATTGGTCAGCCACATGCTAGGCTTGAGGCTATAAACTACATCCTGTCTCTTTGTTCAGTGGAGAAACACTGAGGACAGGGAAGAATGAACATCTGCCATCTATTTTCTATGATTTGTTCTCTTTGAATAAATATATTTTTCTCCCCCTGATTTGCTTTGGGGTCTGTGTTATTGAAGAATAACATCAACTGCTAACAGTGGCAACCGGACGCCTGCTGTTTTCAGATCCCATATTTACAGTAGGCTACCATTCCCAGGAGTTGACATGTAGCAACATGACTGTTCCTGAGTGGAACTGGTCGACTGGTTGGTGACAGTTGAAAGTGGGACAAACAGGAAAAACCTGCGGTGTGTGTTAGGGCCAGGATGATACCACAGATAGAACAATGAGACAGATATTTCATTGGATGTATAAATGTGAAGCATCCGCTTGGCGTTTCCACTCACTACCAATATGGTAGTGAGAGGAAGCCCAGTGGCCGGCAGTAGGAGAATATGGAGCGAGATGGATTTTGGCCGACATTCTGCAAATTTTCTCATCAATTAAACATTTGATCTCAATACAGTTTTCTGTTCCCAACACTAGCATCTGTTACGAACAGTGGACTAAGTTTTGTAGACTTTACCCTTTGCCAAAGTTAGAAAAAATTGTGTTGTTTTGGGAACACTAACCACTGAGTATACCAAACATTAGGAACACCTGAGTTGCACCCCCCCCCCCCCCCCTTTTGCCCTCAGAACAGCTTCAATACTAATACACAATCCATGTCTTAAGGCTTAAAAATTATTTGACCTGTCTCCTCCCCTTCATCTACACTGGTTTGAAGTGGATTTAAGAAGTGACCTCAAAAAAGGATCATAGCTTTCACCTGGTCAGTCTATGTCATGGAAATGTTCTTAATGTTTTGTATACTCTGTGTATTTATTATTATAATAATAATAATAATAATAATAATAATAATAATAATAATATGCCATTTAGCAGACGCTTATATCCAAAGCGACTTACAGTCATGTGTGCATACATACATATTTCTGGCAGTATGCAGCATTACTAGTTACTGTTGATGACAATCTGACTAATTTGCTGTAGGCCATTTCAATAAATAAGAAAGCAAGAGAGGAATGTAGGTTAGACAGAATTCCACCAGAGCAGCACAACATGTCCAGTCAGACTCTCTCTCTTTCTCCGTCTGTCTATCTCTGTGTATAGCCTTCACGTGGAGCGTGTTGTTTTTGTCTGCCAATCAGAGGTGACAGAGCGGCACTACAGTCAATAAGAAGCACTGTGTAGCAAGTGAAGTGAGAGCTAATGCAAGTTGAGATTACACTGGCTGAAGCACGAGAGGCACATCTCTGGTCCCTCTCCCTTGCATCCTGTGGGTGCGAGACACAGACACGCACAAGCCTGTTCCATACTGAAGCTGAAAGGAATATTAGAAAATATTTTGCTCCACATACAGTGGGGGAAAAAAAGTATTTAGTCAGCCACCAATTGTGCAAGTTCTCCCACTTAAAAAGATGAGAGAGGCCTGTAATTTTCATCATAGGTACACGTCAACTATGACAGACAAATTGAGATTTTTTTCCAGAAAATCACATTGTAGGATTTTTAATGAATTTATTTGCAAATTATGGTGGAAAATAAGTATTTGGTCACCTACAAACAAGCAAGATTTCTGGCCCTCACAGACCTGTAACTTCTTCTTTAAGAGGCTCCTCTGTCCTCCACTCGTTACCTGTATTAATGGCACCTGTTTGAACTTGTTATCAGTATAAAAGACACCTGTCCACAACCTCAGTCAGTCACACTCCAAACTCCACTATGGCCAAGACCAAAGAGCTGTCAAAGGACACCAGAAACAAAATTGTAGACCTGCACCAGGCTGGGAAGACTGAATCTGCAATAGGTAAGCAGCTTGGTTTGAAGAAATCAACTGTGGGAGCAATTATTAGGAAATGGAAGACATACAAGACCACTGATAATCTCCCTCGATCTGGGGCTCCACGCAAGATCTCACCCCGTGAGATCAAAATGATCACAAGAACGGTGAGCAAAAATCCCAGAACCACACGGGGGGACCTAGTGAATGACCTGCAGAGAGCTGGGACCAAAGTAACAAAGCCTACCATCAGTAACACTCTACGCCGCCAGGGACTCAAATCCTGCAGTGCCAGACGTGTCCCCTTGCTTAAGCCAGTACATGTCCAGGCCCGTCTGAAGTTTGCTAGAGTGCATTTGGATGATCCAGAAGAGGATTGGGAGTATGTCATATGGTCAGATGAAACCAAAATAGAACTTTTTGTGAAAAACTCAACTCGTCGTGTTTGGAGGACAAAGAATGCCGAGTTGCATCCAAAGAACATCTCATGAACACCATACCTACTGTGAAGCATGGGGGTGGAAACATCATGCTTTGGGGCTGTTTTTCTGCAAAGGGACCAGGACGACTGATCCGTGTAAAGGAAAGAATGAATGGGGCCATGTATCGTGAGATTTTGAGTGAAAACCTCCCATCAGCAAGGGCATTGAAGATGAAACGTGGCTGGGTCTTTCAGCATGACAATGATCCCAAACACACCGCCCGGGCAACGAAGGAGTGGCTTCATAAGAAGCATTTCAAGGTCCTGGAGTGGCCTAGCCAGTCTCCAGATCTCAACCCCATAGAAAATCTTTGGAGGGAGTTGAAAGTCTGTGTTGCCCAGCGACAGCCCCAAAACATCACTGCTCTAGAGGAGATCTGCATGGAGGAATGGGCCAAAATACCAGCAACAGTGTGTGAAAACCTTGTGAAGACTTACAGAAAAAGTTTGACCTGTGTCATTGCCAACAAAGGGTATATAACAAAGTATTGAGAAACTTTTGTTATTGACCAAATACTTATTTTCCACCATAATTTGCAAATAAATTCATTTAAAAATCCTACAATGTGATTTTCTGGAGAAAAAAAATCTCATTTTGTCTGTCATAGTTGACGTGTACCTATGATGAAAATTACAGGCCTCTCTCATCTTTTTAAGTGGGAGAACTTGCACAATTGGTGGCTGACTAAATACTTTTCCCCCCCCCACTGTAGCTTCTCTTCCCAGGCTTTCAACAACATCTTCGGTCATGATTATAGTCCAACTGTGGTTATAGCTGAGTTTTTATTGTATTTTTTTGTTAAAACAATAATTGGTTTGCCAATAGGGGGCGATTACATCGTATATCACAATGTTTTATGAGTACATAATCACGATAGGAAAAAATTTGACATCGCCATACCCTAGCAATACAATGCACCGGACTAAGCCTCCTATAGGCCTCCAAACCTATTGGGTCACAGCCTGGCATCGTCAGTGTTCCTGGTCCCCCTTCAATAGTTCCTCATGTCCCCAATGGACTAAAAACAATCCTTCTGCTTTCCTGTAGTAGGCCTATTTCTCTCTGTAAACATAATGTTTCTTTGGGTTTGATTCTCTATTTCTCTGGCTGGGGGAATTATGTGTTTCTCACTCTTACTCTGGAGACTGGTCGAACACAGTGTTTCTCAACTACAGTTGTCGAGTACACCCAACTACAGTTGTCGAGTACACCCAACTACAGTTGTCGAGTACACCCAACAGCACACCATTTTTGTTGTAGCCCAGGAACAAACACATCTGATTCAACTTGTCAAGGGCTTGATGATTAGTTAAAAAGTAGAATCGGGTGTGCTTTTCCGGGGCCACAACAAAAAATATGTACTGTTGGGTGTGGGCGAAGACCAGAGTTGAGAAACACTGGTCTAATGTGTTATCCCCCCACCCCTCCAGGCGGAGTCAGGATATGGTTCAGAGTCCAGTCTGAGGCGTCATGGCTCCATGCTGTCTCTCACCTCTGCTGCCAGTGGCTTTTCTGCCACCTCGACCTCCTCCAAGGTAAACCACCACAACACTCACAACAACTCACCAATCTGTTGTCTGGGGGCAATTCCATGGAAAGGCAACCTGAGCATGCCCAAATAAAGTTAGTCATTTCCAAATGAAACCACATTTATAATTATCCTTAAGGTCTTCATGTTGGAGTACAGGCTTTATTTGAAAAGTTTAAGTAGGAAATTGCATGAATTTTGACCATTTCTAAGAGTAGCAGGCCAAGTCTCAAAGGCTTTTCGGTCAATCATATTTCATGGCTTTTTGAAAGAGCTCACAGAGCTTGTTTCTCCACTCACAGCTGTCCCCCAGTGTTAGTTATGAAGATGTGATGTTAATGAGGACACTTCAATTTGGTCTGTATTGCTTAAGTTTTATTTATGTTTTCTACAGTCTTGTAAAGATAGCCTGTCCCAGTCACATCCATAATGTTTTTTAGGAAAAGTTTTTGTAAAACATGCACCTTACATCGGTCACAGCCTGTAAAGCTAACTTTTATCAAGGTTTTATATGGTCTATAATTGGTTGCTTTCTTTTCATTGCCCATATCCTTTTTCAGCGTTATGATATCTGTAACATCCATTTTAGTAATTTAGCAGACGCTCTTATCCAGAGCGACTTACAGGAGCAATTAGGGTTAAGTCCCTTGCTCAAGGGCACATCAACAGATGTTTCACCTAGTCGGCTCGGGGATTCGAACCAGCGACCTTTCGGTTACTGGCTCAGCGCTCTTAACCGCTAGGCTACCTGCCGCCTCACATCCAAATCAAATCTAATTTTATTTGTCACATACACGTGTTTAGCAGAAGTTTTTTGCGGGTGTAGCGAAATGTGATGGATATTGATGTATCATATCTTAGCTATCTTGTGTGGTTGTTCTGAGATGTATTCTTCAGACTTTTAAATTATATGTTCTTCTAGCTAATATTATCTTGGAAAATATGTGCTGAAATGCATTTCTCATACATGGCAGTAATGTTTTAAAGGATGGAAAGATGAGAAGTGTGCTTATCAACAATCTGTGAATAGTCCTGGAGTGTATTTTTCAAATGAAAGCCCCCCCCAAAAAAAATATACCAACTTATTCCAGTGTCCAGAAAAGTGGATTGGGAGTATAGGCACATGTATATTGTTTCATTTGCATATTTTGTTACAATATTTCAGAAATGTGTCAATCTTATTTGTCTCCACATTCAACTGGTAAAGGTACATTTTATTTATATATACATACATACAGTACCAGTCAAAAGTTTGGACACCTACTCATTCAAGGGTTTTTCTTTATTTTTACTATATTCTACAATGTAGAATAATAGTAAAGACCTCAAAACTATGAAATAACACATGGAATCATGTAGTAACCAAAAAAGTGTTAAATAAATCAAAATATAGTTTAGATTCTTCAAAGTAGCCACACTTTGCCTTGATGACAGCTTTGCACACTCTTGGCATTCTCTCAACCAGCTTCATGAGGTAGTCACCTGGAATGCTTTTCCAACAGTCTTGAAGTCCCCACATATGCTGAGCACTTGTTGGCTGCTTTTCCTTCACTCTGCAGTCCAACTCATCCCAAAGCATCTCAATTGGGTTGAGGTCGGGGGATCTGATGCAGCACTCCATCACTCTCCTTGTTGGTCATATAGCCCTTACACAGCCTGGAGGTGTGTGTTGGGTCATTGTCCTGTTGAAAAACAAATTATAGTCCCACTAAGTGCAAACCAGAGGGGATGGTGTATCGCTGCAGAATGCTGTGGTAGTCATGCTGGTTAAGTGTGCACTGAATTCTAAATAAATCACAGACAGTGTCACCAGCAAAGCACCATTACACCTCCTCCATGCTTCACGGTGGGAACCACACATGCGGAGATCATCCGTTCACCTATTCTGCGTCTCACAAAGACACGGCGGTTGGAACCAAAAATCTCAAATTGGGACTCATCAGACCAAAATACAGATATCCACCGGTCTAATGTCCATTGCTCGTGTTTCTTGGCCCAAGCAAGTCTCTTCTTCTTATTGGTGTCCTTTAGTAGTGGTTTCTTTGCAGCAAAATCGACCATGAAGGCTTGATTCACGCAGTCTCCTCTGAATAGTTGATGTTGAGATGTGTCTGTTACTTGAACTCTGTGAAGCATTTATTTGGGCTGCAATCTGAGGTGCAGTTAACTCTAATGAACTTATCCACTGCAGCAGAGGTAACTCTGGGTCTTCCTTTCCTGTGGTGGTCCTGTGCCAGTTTCATCATAGCGCTTGATGGTTTTTGCGTCTGCACTTGAAGAAACGTTCAAAGTTCTTGAAATGTTCCGTATTGACTGTCCTTCATGTCTTAAAGTATTGATGGACTGTCGTTTCTCTTTGCTTATTTGAGCTGTTCTTGCCATAATATGGACTTGGTCTTTTACCAAATATGTGTATTTTCTGTATACCACCCCTACCTTGTCACAACACAACTGATTGGCTCAAATGCATTAAGAAGGAAAGAAATTCCACAAATTATATTTTAACAAGGCACACCTGTTAATTGAAATGCATTCCAGGTGACTACCTCATGAAGCTGGTTGAGAGAATGCCAAGAGTGTGCAAAGCTGTCATCAAGGCAAAGGGTGGCTATTTTGAAGAATCTCAAATATAAAATATATTTTAATTTAACACTTTTTTGGTTACTACATGATTCCATATCTGTTATTACATAGTTTTGATGTCTTAACTATTATTCTACAATGTAGAAAATAGTAAAAAATAAAGAAAAACCCTTGAATGAGTAGGTGTTTGATACTGTATATGTATCTACACTACCAGCCAAAAGTTTGGACACCTACTCATTCAAGGGTTTTTCTTTACTTTGATTTTTACTATATTTTTATTACAGAAATAAATAGAATGTTAGAGTGTAGTAACTGGCCTTGTATACTATTCAGGCTACCTGTAATTATGCAATCCTAAAGTACCTTGCTTTCTGCTGCCCTTTTTTTTTTTTTTTTACATTCCAAATGACAACATGTTATGATAGATTTTGATCACGAAGTCTTTAAGATTTGAATGTTTATTTCAAATTCTGTAACATACATAGCCGTCGTTTGTCCTCTCTAAAGTAATCATGGAAATGATCAAAAATGACGTTTTTATTCAGCCAAGCCTTTCCTTCGAAATGGCTATCCATGTTTTGACCTAAGACTCACAAACTCACTGTAACATCCATAACGCTTCTTATTTGCTTTATTTCTCCAACATGCCAGAAGTCCGCTTTCTTGGGTATACACTCCCCCCAAGCAGAGTTTGTCCATTCTATGAGACATTTTAAATTGTGCTTTTGCATATGCTGGAATCGCTCCTGGACATTACAGCCCCTGGAAAGATGTAGCTAGGTATTTTGCATAATTAATTAATTACCAAGGGCCTAATCTTAACTTGGTGGAGACGTCCCGTTGATTCCCAATGCATGATTGTTTAATTATGTTATTTAATAATATAATATAATATAATATGCCATTTAGCAGACGCTTTTATCCAAAGCGACTTACAGTCATGCGTGCATACATTTTTGTGTATGGGTGGTCCCGGGGATCGAACCCACTACCTTGGCGTTACAAGCGCCGTGCTCTACCAGCTGAGCTACAGAGGACTATTTAACAGTGAACCCGTGTGTTTGTGTGTGTTGTTGGACCTGAAGGGCCACAGCCTGCCGGAGAAGCTGGCGGAGATGGAGACGTTCAGAGACATCCTCTGCAGACAGGTGGACACGCTGCAGAAGTACTTTGATGGCTGCGCAGACGGCATCTCCAAGGATGAGTTCCAGAGAGACAGAGGTAGACCTACTGTAGCTGTTTAACATGGAGGGAGAGGGACTGTGGACCCCAGGAAGAGTAGCTGCTGCTTCTGCAAAAGCTAATGGGGATCAAAATAAACAAATAAGCTAACATGGAGGGAGAGGGACAGTCAGACAGAGGTACTGAAGCATACCTGGGAGGCTTTCTGTGGGTTTTAAAGTTCCATATTGAACTGGCCATGTAAATTGTAATAACCACACCTGCCACAGAACATGGAATGGCAACCCATGTAGATCAATGATGGAGTCTTGTCTCCTTTCCAGTGGTGGAGGAGGATGAAGACGACTTTCCCACGAGCACACGGCCCGATGGCGACTGCCTTTACAACAACAACGGCAGCAAAGAGAAGCGTGAGGATCAGTGTGTAAATTCACACTTATACTACTACTAAATTACTACTCGTAGCAGTATGAGTGCTTGTGTCCTTGAGCAAGGCACTTGACCCCTGAAATAGCTCCAGGGGCGCTGCACTGTAGATAACACTGCGATCCTCACAAATGTGTGTTTGTGTTGAATATGTGTGTGTTGTGGAAGCAGATCAGAAAACAAATATCAGTTTCATCACCCCTAAAGCACAGTTATGTGCAGAATGGTGACATTGGAACCTTTTCATCTAACAGTGTGTGTCTCTCTCTCCCAGTGTTTCCCCCTGCCAATCCTAAGGGCATGAACGGGATTGACTTTAAGGGCGAGGCCATCACGTTTAAGGCCACTACAGCTGGAATCCTGTCCACCCTCTCCCACTGCATCGAACTCATGGTGAAGAGAGAGGACAGCTGGCAGAAGAGAATTGACAAGGTACGTCACAGCCCACTTCTGCCACAGCCAATCACAAGTCTTCTTTAGCAGAGGTCACTGGGGCCTTGGAAGCTCCCAACGGGGTCATTCAACCCCTCACCTGTCTCATGGAAACAATTCCCCAGTCAGGTTGTTGTTGCAGAAGAGTATGCATTCTCATTTTTAATCACCATGGCTGGTAAAATAGAAGTGGACTGGTGTGTTTATGGTTTAAGCCAGTGAGAGGAGACAGTACACAAGTCCCGGTTCAGCAGAGGCATTGTCTAACCTGAGGTGGCAGATCCAGTCTATTGTGTGTGGTCTCTCAAATGGTTATATCAAGAGCCTTTTCTTTGTGTAATTGGAGGTGATTGGTGGATCTGATCACCTCAATGCCCCACCCTGCCTTGATTGGCTTAGTTTCGTTATGCCTGACAGTTGTGTGTTTGGAAAGAATCTCCCTCAATCAGTAAGTCCCACTGTTGTGCAATAGGCATGTAAAACATTTAGAAACATTCAACTCTTCAAGGAAGATAATGGTGAATTTGCATTCTATTAGAACTATTAGAACATGGCCAGATTGACATTTTGTATGAAAGCACTTTGTAATGAAGGCACTTGTTAAACACTTTTCAAGACACTCCTGCTTTTTGAAGGTAGAGGATTCTTTTCATTTTCATCACGTGAAATAAATCACACTTCAACTGCATTTCCGTAAAGTCACATTTTAATGGTTTAATTGTTTGAATGGTTTAGTGGTTATTTGAGCGGATTGAATTGAGAATTTCCATTGTAGATACTGCAGTCTGTAGGCATTCACCCCCATACCTTGCTTTAGACACATGACAAAGCTCTGCATCCTTACCCTGCTCAGCTGTTGAAAACCAGTTCTTCCATTTTTTCCCAAGGCAAATTGCCCAACCCAAAAAAGGGAGGTAGGAATAGCCTCCAGTTGGTTTCGACAACCTGATTGACACTAGCGTGGCTGGGTGTGTGTGTCTTGAGGGTAGCCTATGTTGATCAGGGAGAGAGCGTCACAGGACAGGACACGCACTCCAAGCCACAAACTGGAGTAAGTAGTAGGATGACTGCTCTGACATTGTGGTACCGTCTGTCTTTCTGGAAGCCCTCGCTACATGGGAGGGCCGACATACTGAAATACGACAGCCAGAGATGGATCCCACTACAGCCACTTCTTTACAGTACGTATTATAGTATAGGCATTGGTTGAAGCAAATCAACTTGGAGGTACACAACACACTCCCAGCCTCTTGTTATGAGCCGTCCGGCAGTTACCGAGAACCACATACCGGATTTTTTTAACAGGCTCGTTAGCAATTGAGCTTTAAGAGTATTTTCTGCGCCTACCTAGCTTAAATTCTAGCAGTCGGATTAAAACGAGACTATAGCGTCCATAATGTGACCATTTGATTTAAAACATTGCGGATTGACTACGTTTGAAGGTGCAACAGTTTTAATTTAATTTATTTATAGCTCTCACGTGCTCATTTCTGTCCCTTAAGAACCAACGATGTGCTACCTTTTTGTAGCATTTTTGACAATACTAACAATGCTAAAACCGGGACCAACAACTCTGTTGCTGCGCAACAGCAGCAGCTAGCTAGTAACATGCTAGCAGCTGTAGCTAGCTCGCTAACACCAGGCAGATGAGAAGCAAGCTACAAGCCAAGGAACTGAAGTTAGTTAGATTGGTATATTTAACTATGGAGGGTTTTTCATATGGCTGAAGAGCACAAACATTCTTGGCTGCTATTAAAGCCAATTAGCTACAAGCCAACGAGACTGTACCAATGTTGACAATATATCCTAACTAGCTAGCTACATTCTTCCATAAAGCTTAGCTAGCTAAGTGCATAGTCAACACCGAACTTTGGGAAACTGCCGTTCTGCTAACTTATAATACATGCAATGGTCATTGCTCATCTAGTTACTCTGGCATGATACAGTCAAACTGGCTAAATAGTTACTTGTGCAGCCAGATGTCAGTTTCAGCACAAACACTGCTAGCTAGCCTACATTTCCTCAACCAAGATCAGCCTCTCACAACACAAACTGTAGCTGATAAAACAAATTGTTTTGCTAAGAAACATTTGGCTATGTTGAATCTAAATCCGGCCAATGCAAATGCAAGTAGTGTACACATGTTAGCTAGCTAATTAGCTAGATCAACACACAAGACAGACACGTTACTGTTCGAGTATCCAGATCAAATTCCAGCCCTTAACATATGATGCTTTAATTCAGTACACCCTCCTCTGTCAATGCAATGTTCTTCATGCCATTTTAATCCAAATTTGCGCTGACTGATCAACAGTGTCAAGTTAGTTTAGTGTGTTCCCAGAAATCTGAACCCAGTAAGCAAAATTATGTTTAAAATATGTTTTTTCCGGGCCTTTGAAGTTGGGTTAAAATCTAAGCCAAACATAGACGTCCATGTTTGGTTTAGAATTTACGCAGCGGGTTAGGAGAATTAACGTAGCCGGTTAGGAGAATTAGGTTAAAAGGGTTAGGGTTAGCGAAAATGCTCTCCTGACCTGCTACGAAAAGTCTTAGGGAAATCAAGGTTGGTCCGGACCGCACCAAAAAAAAGACATCCAAAATATGTTGGTGTAGGTCCCTTTAGTGGGTAGTAGCCATCAACAAGTACAAAACTGGAGGGGGTCTGGGGGGGACTCCCCTGGATTTATTATTTTATTTATTTCCCAATGCTCACTCAGCCAACTTGTTCAGTACTTTGAGAGTCACTTACAGGAACTGGTATGTGCTTAATGTAAAGCAGCTGTTGATATTCACTCCCCTCTTTTAAAGCAAGTATCCATATGTTTTGCTTAAATGCAAATAACCATTTCTATGAAGTGGGGCCCAGTTTTCCAAAAGCGATGGAACATGTCTCTGCGATGGCTGCTTCGTACACACCACAGTGGATTGGAATACGCTCTAAATGGAAACCAGAACTAACTGCTCAACTTCAGTTTTCTCCTTCCCTCCTTTTTTCTAGTCATTATTTAGACTTGTATTTGGATCATTGCAATTTCCACTACGTTGTAGTTGTTTGATAATAGGGTTTATTCACTAGTTTGACAGATCTGTTAGTTGGCATTTCAGTTAGTTTCGAGGTGGAGATGATCCTAATCCAAAGGTGTACAGTCTTTCTATCCTTAGTCAGTACAATTGTAATGGACCTGTGATAGAGATGTAGGCAGCAACACCATTCAGTAGTGTCTAGTAAAAGTTTGTTTTTAATCCTGTGTGACATTTAATCTGCTTCATGTTGTTATTGGAATTCTGTGTATTTTAGAAGTAGGTGTGCCTACTGTTGCATTTAGTGTTTGTTGTGGATTTCATTGTGCGAAGCGGCACTTCGTCTTCTTTGTACTTTTGTGACAGCCCTCAGGCCAGTCAGCCAGGTTTAGTGCACCTAAGTGGGGCACCATGAGCAATGACGCACCTCCCTCCTGCTACTGCAAGACAAGTTCTAGTCTTAGAGGTTGCCAGACAAAGGCCAGCCTCATTTGTCTTGGGGGCATGAGAATAGAGTTTAAACCATTTTGAGCAGAGTGGCCTAGCGTCCTGTTCGCCCCGTCCCTCGGACGCTTATTCACGTTTTCTAAACATTTTGTGCATTTACTACGCAAAAACCTGTCACTGAAATTCACACTTCTACTCAATACAACGCATTGAATTAACTTCACACTGTTCACTGTACAATAGAATACTGCATAGAATGGCTGATTTGCTCATATTTGCAAAGGCCTACCTGTGATTTGGCTGGAGGAATGGGAGGGAGGAATTTACTGTACATGCATAATGATCTGCAAGTCATTGTGGCAGTAAGGGGAAAACACTGCATGAAACCTTCTTTACTCTTCAGTTAACACACACGTTAGTGTTGAATTCACGTTAGTTGACAACTTAACCAAATGTATATCAAAACTAGATGTTGAACTGACGTCTGTGCCCAATGGGCTTTTCTTTCTATCTGTGCCAATCAAAATTGCTTAGACCTACTGTCAAGTTAACTGGTTGTAAGCTAGCTAGGTAACGCGACTGAACAAGGTTGTTCGTGATCAAACCAATAATTAGCGACCCAGGATTAGTTTAAAACGGCCTGCGACATGTTTTGTGAAATTATATAAAATGCGCTCGAGACAATACATTTTCTTTGCTGCAAGCATGCCTGTCACGAAGCTGTGCTCCATTTTCCCTCTGGCTCTCAGAGGTTGCATGACAGCGACCTTGCAAAGTCTACTCAGACTGGCCTGTGCTCTTGGTTATAACAGGCAATGAAATTATACAATGTATCAACTTTGCTCGCTCTGCTCCAATGTAACAAATGTATAAAAAATATATATTCTGTATATAGATTATTTTGGGGGGTACTTTTGACCCCTTTTTCTCCACAATTTCGTGATATCCAATTGGTAGTTAATCTTGTCCCATCGCCACAACTCCCGTACGGACTCGGAAGAGGTGAAGGTCGAGAGCCATGCGTCCTCCGAATCACAACCCTGCCATGCCGCACTGCTTCTTGACACACTGTTCGCTTAACCCGGAAGCCAGCCGCACCAATGTGTCGGAGGAAACACCGTACAACTGGCGACCGTGTCAGGGTGCATGTGCCCGGACCGCCGCAGGAGTCTCTAGAGCGCGATGGGACAAGGACATCCCGGCCGGCCAAACCCTCCCCTAACCCGGACGATGCTGGGCCAATTGTGTGCCGCCTCATGGGTCTCCCGGTCGCGGCCGGCTGCTACACAGCCCGGGATCGAACCCGGATCTGTAGTGACGCCTGAAGCACTGCGATGCAGTTCCTTAGAACAAATGTATAAATCTTAACAACAGAAGACCCATCAGGGTCAGCAACCCCGGTCACCATCAAGGCTACATTATATTTAAAAACGGATGGAGGAATAGATGCACAGGAAGATCGGCCAGAGAGAAGCAGGTGAGTGAGGACTGATAGGGGATGCGGCTGGCTGATTACAGCTGCCACACGTGAAATGTACATGAAAGTGAAGTGGATATTATTGGACCGGTGCATATGAGACTAGTAGCTGTTGCTTAAATTCAACAGATGTATTTTTATTTTTAAGACTCAACACAACAGGCGCCAGAACTTTCTTTAGATCGGCATGGCCTAAGAATTTGGTAGTATAATATTCTAAAAAGTATCATGACGTTTTTGTACTGTCTTACCGTGTTACCAGTATACCGTTGCAACACTAATTGAGAGTTAGATTTGAGTTGGCGATTTATCTTACCAGAAGCTTATAGCCTCTTCGTGAACAATATTCCTTCCAGTTGACCAATTGTGACTGTGTGTGTGTATTCAGGAGCTGGAGAAGAGGAGAAGGGTGGAGGATGCCTATAAGTCGGCCTTGAGTGAACTGAAGAAGAAATCTCACTATGGAGGCCCCGACTACGAGGTAGGAATTCCAAACCTTTGAAACTGCCAAAACTCTCCTGACACTTCCACCTGTAGTGATGATGAATACTGGAACCAATCCACATGAGTTATCACAGGTATCTGACTTAGTAATGACTAAGGAAGTGAGAAGAGACAAGAATGCTAAATATTTATTTCCACTTGATTATGAGTATAGATACTATACTATAAAATTGACATATTACAGCTCATGGCTATGCCATTGTATTAGTCATAGTGGGTATATACCAGTCAGATTGCGGGGCATTGATTCCTGTTGCATGACATTGATTTGGGTACAAGATTCTACATCCTGGAAGCAGTACATCTGTCGTAATTTGTTGTGCCTTCTCATGATATTGTTTCAACAGGAGGGTCCTAACAGTCTCATCAATGAGGATGAGTTCTTTGATGCGGTGGAAGCTGCCCTGGACAGACAAGACAAGATAGAGGAGCAGGTACGTTACTATTTTATTCTGTTCGCTAGTTCCCACCTGCCGGCATTCTGTATAGATCTGAAACGTCTATATGGCCGATTTTCCACCTTGCCTACCAGAGAGAAAACATGTCCTTTCCTTTCAGATCTAGAATCTAGATATTGGACCTACAGGTGTGATTGAATTGGACCTACAGGTGTGATCGATTTGGGATTAGACAACTGAGTGTATTATGAGAGCATATTCTGAGAGTAATGTGAGTTGTCTGTGGTGTTAATGTGTGGTTGTGTGTTCATTCTCAGTGTCAGTCAGACAAGGTGAGGATACCCAGACTTACCCCAGTCCCTCCTGGAGACACATACTCCACCATCGGAACCCACCGCTTCGCCAAACAGGTACACACACACAAACATAGGGCTGTGACGATTATGGAATTTGTGATGAAAAATTGTCATGTACAGTGCATTCGGAAAGTATTCAGACCCCTTGACTTTTTCAACATTTTGTTACGTTACAACCTTATTCTAAAATGGGTTAAATTGTTTTCCCCCCTCATCAATTTACATACAATACCCCATAATGACAAAGCAAAAACAGGCTTTTAGAAATGTTTGCAAATGTATAAAAAAAAAAAATATATATATATTACCAGACCCTTTACTCAGTACTTTGTTGAAGCACCTTTGGCAGTGATTACAGCCTTCTGGGGAAACACTGTACAACTGGCGACCGTGTCAGCGTGCATGTGTCCAGCCCGCCGCAGGAGTCGCTAGAGCGCGATGGGACAAGGACATCCCGGCCGGCCAAACCCTCCCCTAACCCAGATGACGCTGGGCCAATTGTGCGCCGCCTCATGGGTCTCCCGGTCGCGGCCGGCTGCTACACAGCCTGGGATCGACCCCGGATCTGTAGTGATGCCTGAAGCAAAATATTACAGACCCTTTACTCAGTACTTTGTTGAAGCACCTTTGGCAGTGATTACAGCCTTCTTGGGTATGACGCTACAAGCTTGGCACACCTGTATTTGGGGAGTTTCTCCCTTCTCTGCAGTTCCGCTCAAGCTTTGTCAGGTTGGATGGGCAGGAGTCACTTTTTCACACAGGGCCATGTAGGTTTGGATTTTGTTTTCCCTTAATAATAACAACCTTAATTTCAAAACTGCATTTTGTGTTTACTTGTGTTATCTTTGACTAATATTTACATTTGTTTGATGATCTGAAACATTTAAGTGTGACAAACATGCAAACAAATAACAAATCAGGAAGGGGCCAAACACTTTTTCACACCACTGTATGTAAATAAGGTATTTCTGTTTTTTATATTTGCAAAAATGTCAAAACAACTGTTTTCGCTTTGTCATTATGGGGTATTGTGTGTAGATTGCTGAGGATTTTGATTTATCCATTTTAGAATAAGGCTGTAACGTAACAAAATGTGGAAAAAGTCAAGGGGTCAGAATATTTTCGAATGCACTGTACCCACGGTTATTTTAATAATAGTCATTTTTGTAGATGTTTTTTTATCTTCGAAAATTACCTACGACATACCTAATGAATACAACACAGTTTTTTGGTGACACCCCTGTCTTAATAACGAATGGTTTTGACCACTTGAAACTTTTGGAAATGAAGCTTCTCCTCCTCATACAATGATTATCAACTTTACTCACTTCATGTAAAAATTACAGACTGCTATTGGGTACACTTATATCTACTTAAATACAAAGTTGAATCCCCCCTTCTCCTGAAATGAATGTATACTGAACAAAAATATAAACACAACATGTAAAGTGTTGGTCCCATGTTTCGTGACCTAAAATAAAAGATCCCAGAAATGTTCCATATGCACAAAAAGCTTATTTCTGTCAAATGTAGTGCACAAATTTGTTTATATCCCTGTTAGTGAGAATTTCTCCTTTGCCAATATAATCCATCCACCAGACAGGTGTGGCATATCAAGAAGCTGATTAAACAGCATGATCATTACACAGGTGCTGGGGACAATAAAAGGCCATTTTAAAATGTGCAGTTTTGTCACGCAACACAATGCCACAGATTTCTCAAGTTTTGAGGGAGCGTGCAATTGGCATGCTGACTGCAGGAATGCTCGTCGTCCTCACCAGGGTCTTGACCTGACTGCAGTTCGGTGTCGTAACCGACTTCAGTGGACAAATGCTCACCTTCGATGGCCCCTGCACGCTGGAGAAGTGTGCTCTTCACGGATTAATCCTAGTTTCAACTGTACCGGGCAGATGGCAGACAGTGTGTATGGCGTCGTGTGAACAGTGTTCATGGTGGCATACTCACCAGACATGTCACCCATTGAGCATGTTTGGGATGATCTGGATCGACGTGTACGACAGCTAAATAATGATTTAGTCTCTTTGATTTGCGTAATCCCTTTCATGTAGTGAAGGGTGGCATCCCTCTCTGCTCGTCTTTCATGTGTGGTGGCATGCCTGGTCTCATTCCCTGGATGTTTCTCTACTTTTCCCCTCTTTCACTCCTCACCTGTTTATTTCTCTTTCTCTCCCCCTACCTCCCCTTTCCCCATTCCTATCTCACTCTTTCCCCCCCACACACTTTCTCCCCCTCTCCGCTTCCTCTGCTGCATAGCCCCATAGCTATTCTTCCCTGTCCTCCGTTGCACTAGTCAGTGCCTCAGATGATGTTCACAGATTCAGCGTGCAGGTACCGTATGTGTTGAACAGAGCGCCACCTGCCTCCTGCGAATGCACATTACACTGCACTCTACTGGCTGAGACTGACTGCATGTGAATGACTAGGAATTGTAATACATACATTGAACTTGACTGTGTTTTACCGTCTTCCACACTGTCTTATATAACCTGTCCTTTAACCCATTGTGTCTTTCCATCTCTTTCTGATGCACTTCATGTGTGTTGCCTTCCCTCCCTCTGTCCAGAGCTGCCCTGAACGGATCCATTTTCATCAACATTCCTTTAGCAAAATCATTAGGAGTCGAAGTTATCAATGCACACAGTTAGGCAAGCTGAGCTACAAAGCAGCTTAGATACAATGATTCAATAAAACTATGCAACAACAACATTATTTAACTATAGACCTTTTTTTGAACGTAAACAATAAACTAATTTAGAACGCATGACCCCACTATACATCCTGCTAGCTAGCTGCCCCGGAGACCTCAACATGTCAAGTGCATGTTACAAGAAGAAAAGTAAACAAAGTCTACGTATAAAGAGGGAAAACAGGGTTACATGTAGCTTAGTCAGTGTATGGAGAAGTCAGAGGCGGAGCTAGCCAGCCAGACACTTCAGAGGACGTTGCTACTTGGCCTGGATAGTGGCGAGAAGCAACGGGCCATACAGGGGAGGGGTGCAGCTGACACTGTAGCCTATATGGTAGCCTCCTTGAATGACCGGCAGAAACGGTGGGAGAACTTTTTTCAAAGGGTTGTAAAAAAACAAAACACATTTGGCTTATAATTTCTGAAATTTGATAGGCTATTTTAGTCAAATAGGCCTTGCAGCTTCTCTTCAGTCATAACTTGTTGCCCTAGAAGACAAATACATAATTATACATTACAAGAAAAAATGTATTAAATGATAGCATGAATGCATCAATCATCTAGCTGACATCTGTAAAGCTTTCTCTTTCAATGTTGCGCTTCTCGACGGGATCGGAGAAAATGCAATAGCTCTAAACAGGGTAGCCTAAATATACTTCCCTTGCAAACATTTTGAGATTTAAAAGCAGTGAAACTATAATTCAAGTTTCTGATAATTCACTTAATTGATGCATATTCTACGTGGTTGAAATACTGAGCTGTTATGTAAAGGGTCAATCCCTGAATAAGACACCCATATTTGCATTTGTTCGAGATACTGAAAGAAATAAAGCTTACTATATTGCTCCACTCCTTTTCCCGAGACAAAAACATTTGGTGCGTCAGGAGTTAATTTCACATTAGGCTACATGTGAGATGTTATAGGCCAGTCAGTGTCCAGATTTCAGTTAGTATTCCATTTAACCTATCTCAAGTTCAAAATGATCATTTCAGCTCTCTCATTTTGGTTCTCTCATTTGTTGGCAAAGTAAACATGTTATAATGCGATTTCTTAGTGTCTCACAATCTTTCACAATAAACAAGTCATTCACAATAATACTCAAAGTAGGCATAGTAATAGACAGTCTTGCACAGTGTCAAATATTTAAGTAGGCATAGTAATAAAGTCAAAGTTTATTTGTTGTGAACATACAGGATAGTTTACATAGCACAATTAAATAGTAGCCATACATACATACTGTACATTAATGGCAGTGTAGTACAATACAAGGAATACTTGTATAATTGAGACTCCTGTAAGTCGCTCTGGATAAGAGCGTCTGCTAAATGACTAAAATGTAAATGTAACAACAGCGGTATCAATCAAATGTATTTATGAAGCCCTTTTTACATCAGCAGATGTCACAAAGTGCTATACAGAAACTCAGCCTAAAACCCCAAACAGCAAGCAATGCAGATGTAGAAGCACGGGGGCTAGGAAAAACTCCCTAGAAAGGCAGGAACCTAGGAAGAAACCTAGAGAGGAACCAGGCTCTGAGGGATGGCCAGTCCTCTTCTGGCTGTGCCGGGTGGAGATTATAAGAGTACATGGCCATTTAAGGCCAGATTGTTCTTCAAGATGATCAAACCTTCATAGATGACCAGCAGGGTCAAATTATAATCACAGTGGTTGTAGAGGGTGCAACAGGTCAGTACCTCCGGAGTAAATGTCAATTGGCTTTTCATAGCCGAGTATTCAGAGGTCGAGACAGCAGGTGCGGTAGAGAGAGCGAGCGAGAGTCGAAAACAGCAGGTCCAGGACAAAGTAGCACGTCTGTTGAACAGGTCAGGGTTCCCTAGCCGCAGGCAGAACAGTTGAAACTGGAGCAGCAGCACGACCAGGTGGACTGGGATCAGCCAGGAGTCATCAGGCCAGGTAGTCCTGATCCTAGGGCTCAGGTCCTCCGGGAAGGAGAGGGGGAGAGAATTAGAGGGCGCATACTTAAATTCACACAGGACACTAGATAAGACAGGAGAAATACAAGATATAACAGACTGACCCTAGCCCCCCGGCACATAGACTATTGCAGCATAGATACTGAGATGGGTGGGTCGGGGGACACTGTGGCCCCGTCCGACGATACCCCCGCACAGGGCCAACCAGGCAGGATATAACCCCACCCACTTTGCCAAAGCACAGCCCCCACACCACTAGAGGGATATCAACAGACCACCAATTTTTGGACTAGAACCTGGAGGAAATATATACTTTATTGTCCATTGCTTAGAACAGAAATGTGCCTTCTGCTTTTCCCAACACCCTGCAGTGCAGCACCCCTGGGTGGAGAGCAATTGTGGGGGTTTAAGTGCCTTGCTCAAGGGCACAATGGCAGGAGATGGTACATGGGAGCCTTCCAGCTGCCAGTTCATTTTTGTGTCGTCCTGGGCTTGAACCATTGTAGTCATGGCACCACACTCATTCATTGCTCCTGTAGTAGCCTAGCCCTAGAGCAGTGTTTCCTGGTCCTAGGGACCCAATGCACATTTTTGGTTTTGCCTTAGCACTAGCCATCTGATTCAAATCATCAAAGCTTGATACGTTGATCATTTGAATCAGCTGTGTAGTGTTAGGACAAAATAACACAGTTTGGAGAGGCAAACCAGCAGCTGCAAGGTTGCTGGTATAAGTCCTGGGCCAGGCAACGCAAAAATGGAACTGAACTGGCAGCTGGAATGCTGCTGGTCATTGATCCTGTGCACCATCATCTGCCATTATGCACTTGAAAGGCACCTAACCCCCCACAATTTCACTCCATCCAGGGACTCTGCACTGCTGCTGACCCTGTGTCAACTTCTGTGTATTTGTTGGTGTTGGGAAAGGGAGAAGACACATTTTCCATTCTAACTACTGGATTATAAAGTTGTATTAAATTATTCTTTATCCAGCATATTGTCCATCTAGAAAAGGTTAGACAGCCCTGACAACACAAGCTGGCTCCCCATGCAGTCCACTCCAGGAAAAATATGTCTACCATAGAGCATTATTGTCTGAAAACACATTAGATTCCTCTGCACAGGCATTTGTTTAAATATCAGCACAATGTTGATGGGACACATTTCACTTTGATTATAACCCACAGACCCCCAAGATGAATATGACTTGTTAGATAGTGCTGCCTAGGCTAATGAATTGTCCAAAGCCAAATCGTCCCAAGTTACTCCTCCTCATCAATATTAAACAAAAACAAATACTGGACATATGTATGCCTCTTTCATTTGATTTTAGAAGAAGCAAACCACTTAGCTAGATAGCTAACTAGCAACTACATTTGCAAACCAAATGCACAACTGCAGAGCATTTAGCACATTTTAGACAGTTAACTTAGTTATAGGATATCTAGCTGGCAAACATTTGGTTGTGAATTCCATACTGTAACTAGACAGTGAGTGATTCACACGGCTCTGGTTTCTCGTCGTTGTGTGCTTGGAAACGAACCCCACGTGAACGATTAGTTACCGGAGTGTAACTCCAGTTCTATGAGTGGAGCGGAGCCCCATAGGGGAGCTCTGCTCCTATTGGTTTACCCACTGCCCTAAGGCAGCATCAGCCTGAGACAAAATTATGCACACACCTGCAGCCAATAGGAGTACAGGTGTCCCTATAAGAGGGGATGCCTCCCCTCAATCAGCCTCCCGAGATATTTATCTTCAGCGAGACTAGAGAGGGTCGGCAGGGCCTTAAGTCCTATTGGGCTCCGCTCCACTCATAGAACTGGAGTTACACTCCGGTAACTAATCGTTCTATATCGTGGAGCTCCGCCCCATAGGGGAGCTCTGCTCTTATTGGCTTAAGGCGGAGCGTAGCGCTCCAAAATGTACTCCCTGCCGAGCCCAACACTTCCCATCAAAATGAAAAGGTCAGGCCTAGCAATGGCTGCAACCAATTCCCGCAGTACTGTAACCACTGTACCCATACAGGCGTCACAATATACCACGTCATCGGTTAAAGACCCGCCCCACCTAGTCCAATGGCAACACCAATGACTAGTGGGCAGATCACCAGAATACAGGCCATACTAATCTGAACTAGCAGATAGATGGTACCTCAGTATCCTGTTACAATACTACCGACCACTAATGGAATGACACAAAGTGTCACTCTACATTGTGTACACGGTAGGCCGCCTCACTCAATCAATGGACCCCAGAGATTAGTGGGCAGATCCCAGAACATGATTCATACTAATCTGAACAAGCAGATAGATGACGTCACATTCTGTCCAAATGTCATGACCGGTCTAATAGTATCGTAACCCAGGTTACTACTATTATCCCTCATCATCCCGCCTCACTCCAGTGAAACACTGGTGGGCAGATCAATACATGACCTCTACTGTACTGAACCTGTCAGTCAGGAGTCATGCCAAAAATATGTCCTTCTATCGGAAGCGGACGTGATAGAGACCCTGTCTCCACAGTCCTGCATTCCTCTCCTCCTAGCTCAAAGTCTCCCTTCAGCCACGCTGAGTACAGACTGAGCCAAAGAGTTAGAAGACATATCCAAGAGATAGAAACTGATAAATGGAGACGGTGTTGACCATGACGCCGCTCTACATATATCCTCTACCCCTGTTCCTCTGAAAAGGGCAGTAGAAGCTGCTACTCCACGAGTGGAGTGAGCTCTGATACCCTGAGGCAACTGTCACCCTGCTGCCTCATAAGCTGTCTCAATGCTCTCACAGAGCCAATGAGACAGACGCTGTTTCGAAAGTGGTCTACCTAGTGCAGCCGCACCATGACACACAAACAGCTGAGGCGATGACCTAATCGCTGCTGTGCGCTCAACGTAACACGCCAAGGCGCATACTGGGCACAGGCGATGGAGCCTTTCTTCACTCCTCTCTCTATGAGGAGGAGGAGAAAAAGCCCACAGCTCCACGGTCTGTGATCTATATGAACTCCTAATAACCTTCGGCACAAATGCCGGGTTAGGACGTAACACCGCTCTGCTCAGATCGCCATTAATGGCCAGGCAGTCGGGTCTTGTCGAAAGAGCACACAAATCACTAACACGCTTAGCCGTAGTCAAAGCGAGCAACAGCGCTGTCTTCAAAGACAGCATCTTGAGGGGTATTTGATTCAATGGCTCGAACGGCGACTTACATAGCGCTTCGAGTACCAAAGCCAAATCCCACTGAGGAAGCGTGGCTCTAGGTGTTGGCCTAAGCCGCCGTGTTCCCAATAAGAAACGTTTCACTAGAGGGTGGCTGAAGACATTGTCTCTGCCAAACCCCTCGTGACAAGCTGAAATCGCCGCTGCAAACACCTTAATGGTGGCGGGCGATCGCTGCTTGTCAAACATAAGCTGTAGGAAAGAGAGAATACTCTCAATACTCCTTGTGTGACACACCATTGTGAAAACACGTTCCATCTACTGGCGTACATCTTAGAAGTGGAACTGGCATGTGAACCCTGTATGGTCCTGATCACCGCATCAGATAACCCACAGCGCTCTAGCCTGTCCCTCTCAGCAGCCAGGCCTTCAGTGGTTGGCCGATTATGGGCAACCGCCCTATCGTGCCCCCCGCCTGAGACAACGCGTCCCGTCGATGTGGAATTGGCCAAGGTGGCGCAATCAACATCTGACTCATCTCCGCAAACCAAGGAGCCCCTGGGCGATCGGGGGCTACCAGTATCACTGACAGCCCTCCTGATCTCACCCTGGCTAACAGTGGGAGAATGCAGGACAGCGGAGGGAATGCATACAGAAGAACTCTCGGCCACGGGTGATGCGCAAAGGCGTCTCTTCCTAGTGGCGGTTCTTCCTGTTCCCTTAGAGAGAACCATAGGGGACATTGCGCGTTCACACGTGACGCGAATAGATCCACCTCGGCTCTCCCGAACTGTTCCCAAATTTGGAGAACAATGTCCGGATGCAGACATCACTCGTCGTCTCGAGGACCCCCTCTTGACATGAGGTCTGCTCCTACGTTCAAGTAGCCCGGAATGTGTGCTGCTCTCAATGAGCGAAGGTGCTCGTGAGCCCACAGCCACAATTCCTCTGCCGCCCGATGGAGAGCAGGAGACCTGACTCCTCCCTGGCGATTTATGTGGGCTACTGTGGTCCGGTTGTCTGACCAGACCAGCACATCGCGACCCCGAAGGGTAGACGCGAAGTGGGTCAAAACCAGTCGAACCGTTTCCAACTCCAAGAGGTTGATGTGGCGACTCGAAGGAGGCCACACACCACCTATCGCTTGGGTCTGACATGTCCCTCCCCATCCCATCAGAGACGCATCTGTGAACACTGGGATGTAAGAGGACACTTTGCCTATCGGGACTCCGTGCGTGAGAACGCGCGGGTTTCTCCAATAGTTCAGATCTGCACTGAGCGAGAGGGGAACCACCACCAACCGATGACGTTGACGCAACGGGTCTAGTCTCAGTTGAGCGAACCATCGCTGCATCCTGCGCATGTGCAGGAGTCCCAGCGGAACCACAGAGTGGGCTGACGACATGAGACCCAAGAGTGACATGATCGACAGCGCCGTCACCGTGTGATTCGGACGACACTTCCTCAGGGCTAGCAATAAGGCTACCCTTCGGGGGTCCGAAATTCGAGCCCTCATCATTACAGTGTCTAGCTGTATCCCCAGGTAGACAATCTGATGACTGGGCCAGGGCGTGCTCTTTTTCCAATTCACAGCGAACCCCAGACGTGTGAGATGAATCACTGTCTGTGTTGTGTGAGTGATCGCCAGCTCTGCTGACGGGGCGAGAACCAGTAGGTCGTCTAGGTAGGCTAGTAGCCGTATTCCCTGACGACGCAACGGTTCCAATGCCGCCTCCACACACTTGGAAAACGTGCGAGGTGCCAGGCCGTACCCGAATTTCATCCTCGTGTATTCGTACGCCACACCTTGAAAGGCGAATCGCAGAAACTTCCTGTTACGTGGCTGTACCGGCACATGAAAGTACGCGTCCTTTAGGTCTATGCTCGTACAAAAGTCTCCTTTCTGGACACATTCCAGCAGACGTTTTGTCGTTAGCATTCGAAAGGGCCGTTTGGTTACGCTTTCGTTGAGAATGCGTAAATCCAATATTTTTTGGCACTAGGAAGTAGGGCGAATATAGCCCCTTGTTCCTTTGCTCCTGGGGAACCACTGTGACCGCCTCCTTCGCCAAAAGTTCTGTAATCTCTGAAACCAGAGCGGCCACTTTTTCGGGCGTTTTCATCACCGTCTCCACCACTCCCCTGAATGGGGGTGGGGTCCGGTGGAATTGGAGAGCATAACCCTTCTGCAACGTCTGTTGTAGCCAGCGTGAGAGGGTGCAGCTTCGCTGCCACTGCCAGCAATACAGAGAAAGCGGCCGAGCGCGAAGCTGTGGTACATTCAGTAGGAAGGACCTGTATTCCTCTATGACCCTTGCCGCCGCTGTTCCCCAACACTGAGGTGGTGGAACAGCCCAAGGCGGGCCTCCCAAGAAAGGGAGAGGAAACATTAGTGCGTTCTGAACCAAAAGGGGGGGCAGAAACGTCAGTTAAACCCGTAACCGTCGTATTCCTGCCCTCCGTGAACGCAGCGCGGGTCTGAATTGCACTGACCGAGGCCACAGCCTGCGACAGGGCACCATCCCCAGCAAGCGATTGCGTCATCGTAGGTGACTGCAAACCGCTATTAGAGCCACTCACTACAATACTCCTCGAAGTCTGTAATATGAGGTCTCTATGAGGTAACACAAGGCGGCGCCTTGATACCGTCTTACCCTTCACCTTCTGTGTGTGTTCAACTCTGCACCTCTGGTGGGTTGAGTCACGCTCAGTGTGGTGAGTATTAGCGCGTTCAACGGAAAGTGGGTGCGCCGATACACTGGGCACCTTCGTGACCGTGGTAATCGGGCCCTCCGTGAACGCAGCATGGGTCTGAATCGCACTAACCGAGACCTTAGTCTGCGATAGTGCGCCATCCCCAAATAGCGGCTGCGTCATCATGTCTCCTGACTGAGACTGCAGCCTGCTATGAGAGACACTCACTACAGTACTCCTTGGGGTCTGTAATGTGAGGTCTCTTTGAGATAAACCAAGACGGTGTCTTGGTATCTTTCCTCCTTTCACCTCCTGTGTGCGCTCAGCTCTGCACCTCTGGTGGGCTGAACTACGCTCAGTGTGGTGAGTATTAGCGCGTTCAACGGAAAGTGGGGGCGCCGATACACTGGGCACCTTCGTGACCGTGGTAATCGGGCCCTCCGTGAACGCAGCATGGGTCTGAATCGCACTAACCGAGACCTTAGTCTGTGATAGTGCGCCATCCCCAAATAGCGACTGCGTCATCATGTCAGAGTCTGACAGAGACTGCCGTCTGCTATGTGAAGCACTTCTTATACCTGAAGTGTTATGTGAACCTACTCTGAATGCCTGTTCAGCAACGCACCCTTGGTGGGCTGAACGGCGCTTAGAGTGGTAAGGGAGAGAGGGTGAGATTTGAACGCTCTCGGACGTATTATGGAAAAGGGGCTCTTTTTTGACAGTCAGGTGGAGCCAACTCTTTATTAAACACATCAACAAAAGCATTTACATCATCACCCATCCCTTCAACCGAAGGGTGGGGGGGAACAGTGGTCACGTTCAAGGATGGCGTGTCCTCCATTCACCCCCCCGCGTCCCGTCATGTGCGCCTCCTCTTGTGGCCTCCCTTAGGGGCCCAGGTCGGCGCTCTCACCACCTCCCTCGCCGGCTGCAATGGGGCCACCGTGGCTGCTGGGGGGGCTGGGCCCGCTCTCCTGCCTCCTGTGGCCGCCGACTGACGCCGGATACGCCGCCTCGCTGTAGATCCCTGTCTACTCTGGGGGGCGGAAGTGGATGGTTTACGAGACGGTGCAGGGCCTAACCTCCCTGCCAGTGGCAGGTGTCTGGCCAGCTGCTTCTTTTCCTCGTCCAGTTTGGAAAACCTCTGTCGCCTCTTTGACGGCGACTCCAAAGAGCCCGTCGTCAGAGAGGGGGGCGTTCAACAGGGACGTTCTGTCTGCTTCCTTCATGGTTGTCAGTGACAACCAGAGGTGTCGCTCCGCGACCACCGAGGTGGCCATGGACCTCCCCGAGCAGACGGCCGATGCCTGTGTTAGGTGTAGGATGGCGCCAGAAATTCTAGACGCCTCCTCCACCTCCTCTGGCTCCAGCTCTGTCTTACCCGTGGTTAAACGGGACAGAGCGGCTGCCAAGAGGGCAATGTTGTTAGCTGCTGCTACAGCTTGGGCTCCCAAATTGAAGGACTTCTCTAACAGCTGTGCTGTGAGACGGTCCTTCTGAGATGGCAACGTGGCTTTCTTGGAAGAGGGCCAGGGACTCGAACCCGGTACGAGATACGCCGCCATGGCGCTCTCTAACCTGGGGATTCCCTTAGCTTGGCCCTGGAACCTTCCCTCCACTCTAGTGAATGGGAGGTACGTTTAAGCCGGCGAACGCGCCGCTAAAGGTGCCTCCCATGAGCCCTCGACGTATTTCGCCAATGAAGGCATGGCAGGAGCTAAAGGCTCTGCCGCTCTTCTTGGCCTGGAATAGGGGCCGCCCTCCATTAAGTCAACCTCCGGTGCGGAGGGAATAGGGGGCAGCGGTATTTCCAGCCGTCTAGCAGCTCTCTCAATGAGACCCGGAAAGTCCGTTCTCAGAGACGTTGCGGTGAAGGACAGGGCTTCTGACTTCTCAGGGCCCGTGTCGTCATCACCATAGGAACTACAAGCCCTCTCTCTAACCAAAGGAAAGGGAGGCTTGAATGTATGAGGGACGGGGTCTGACTGTTCCATTGGAATGTCAGCCTCCTCCTCATAGTCCCCATCATCCCCTGAGTCTGCGCCGTCGGATGACGCCTCTGAAGCAGAGGCTAGTATCGACAGCACGTCCTCTAGGGGGATATCCTCCCTAAAAAACGCCCAACGCTGCTTCCTCTCCTTTTTAGAAAGGAGGGCGCAGGAGGCGCAGTTAGGGGGACTGCAGACGCCCTCTTTGGCATGCTGGGACCCTAGACACACGAAACATAAGTCGTGGGAGTCGCCGGCCGCCATGGAGGAGCATCTGCATTGAGCTCTGAAAAGAGCTTTTGGGGGTGGAAAATCTCCTGGTGTGCTCATTTTAGGACGACGTCGATGACTGGAAATTCGACGGCGTTCTCGTCCTGAGTCTTCTCTTCTTTTCTTCGTCTCTTCTTGGCTTCTTCAGTCTAGTCCAGTCGCTGAAGATAAAGGGAGGCTGATTGAGGGGAGGCATCCCCTCTTATAGGGACACCTGTACTCCTATTGGCTGCAGGTGTGTGCATAATTTTGTCTCAGGCTGATGCTGCCTTAGGGCAGTGGGTAAACCAATAGGAGCAGAGCTCCCCTATGGGGCGGAGCTCCACTATATAGAACGGGGACTACTGGTAAACTTCATAATGAAAAATTATGTGACAGGAGAAATGATGAAAGGCAATCTTCTTGATCTCCTAATGTATTCCACAAGTTGACTGCAGGTATTTACTTAAAACTTAGCTACAAATTACTTTATTTGTATTTTTAGGAAATTGTTTCAACGGTATTGAAAAAACATCCTGTGGCTATTTCTAAAATACCCCGGTATATGTTATATGGTATACTGCCAAAGCCTATTAGCTAGTTAGTTACTGGCTAGCTAGCTAGAGATGTTACAGCAACCCACAATCAGATTTATTTTCCTGTTGCACAAAGTTAGCTTTTTGGGTGGCATAGACGGCTTTTAACAGAATAGACCGCTATTGCTAGGCCTTCAGACACTGAGTGAAAAACGGATAGCTAGATAGCAGATTAGCTAGACAAATAACACATTCACGTTACCTGAAGTGAAATGTAGCCAGACCTTCATCGCAGTGATCAACGCATGTAGTCCTGTTTTAAAAACGAACAAAAAATAACAACACAGCACTCGACCCTTAGCCTCCCACCTCTAGTAGCTAAATTGTTCGTATTGTTTTAGCTTTCCGGCAGACTAAACGCTTTGTGGCGTATTGCTAACTTTCACAGGTTGGAGTGCCAATGACACATTTGGGACAGGGGAAGGGGAGCTAGCTACAACCACTGGCTATAACTTGATGATGGCGTTCTCTACAATCAAAACAAAAAAACTTGCGCCATGCAACAGGTGGTCATGGGCCAAGATTCAATAATCAACAGTTCTAGAATTTGGCAAAAAAGGTCTATAGGAAGACCGTATATCCTTGAGGAGCTATGTGCCAGTATTCAGTTAGCCACAGCATTAAAAAGAGTAAAGCTGAGGCCAGGACCCTGATCACCATCCATTGTTTGGTCTGTGCTGAGCTCAGCAGATGTTGCAATGCATGACTGGATTCCTGTTGTAATCCCATTCTTCCTCTCCCCCCTCCTTCCCCCCCACTTTCTCTGCATGAGCAGGCATGGACCGCAGCAATGTGAACATCAACTGTACTGTATATCCTGTACCTTACATTCTCCTCCCTCACGGTGATGCTCTGTCTGTGTCTCTAATAACAGCCTGTAGTACAGACAGAGACTGTTACAGTAAAATACAGTGACTGAACGCCCTGCTACATGTGATGTCTGTCTGCTGTTTGTCTGTGTGTCTGTCTCAGGTGGAGGAGATGGTCCAGAATCACATGACTTACTCCCTGCAGGACATGGGTGGAGACGCCAACTGGCAGCTGGTGGTGGAGGAGGGTGAGATGAAGGTGAGGATGAGGATATAGAAGACCATACCTAGATACTACAATAGACACACTGTCCCCTGCATGCCTAGTATAGAACACTATACCTACAGTGATGAGGTTAACATGCTCTGCTCACTGTAAACAGTGAAGTGTGTATGGATCCAATATGGCTACTGTCAGTGTGTATAGGTCCAATATGGGTCGATAATGGCTAATGTATGTGACTGTGTGCTATCTCAGGTGTACAGGAGAGAGGTGGAGGAGAACGGCATCGTCCTGGACCCTCTGAAAGCCACCCATGCAGTGAAGGGTGTGACGGGACACGAGTTGTGCCACTACTTCTGGGACACGGATGTACGCAACGACTGGGAGAGTGAGTATCTTCATCCATCATCAGATTATCTTCTTAGACTAGTGTCATCTTTTTATTTTGTTACTTTGCACACCATTTTTTAAAACATTTTTTGTCATTTAGCAGACGCTCTTATCCAGAGCGACTTACAGTTAGTGAGTGCAGACATTTTTCATACTGGCCCCCCGTGGGATTCGAACCCACAACCCTGGCGTTGCAAGCGCCATGCTCTACCAACTGAGCTACAGGAGGGCTCAATGTCTTGAATTGTTGTTGATTTGTCTAGTCTTGGTCTGCTTCTCTTCCAGCCACCATTGAAAACTTCAACGTGGTGGAGACGCTCTCAGACAATGCTGTTATAGTCTACCAGACACACAAGGTAATCATATCTCTGGAGTTCTTCAGGTTCACCCTAGTCTGTCAGGCTCTCGTACATGTGGGTTGTCTTTGGCTGACAGCCAATGGTTGTGTTTCAGAGAGTATGGCCCGCCTCTCAGAGGGACGTCCTCTACCTATCAGCTATCAGGAAGATCCTGGCGACCAATGAGAATGACCCAGACACGTGGCTGGTCTGCAACTTCTCTGTGGATCACGACAACGCCCAGGTGAGTTCCACAGACACACAAAGAGCTTATTGCCATACATGCTCTTAACATCTGACAGCATAGAGCTAGGGATCTATCAAACTCTTAGAATTGGAAGGGGGGGGGGGGGGGGGGGGGGGGGGGGGGGGGCTACTGCTCTCCTCTTACCTTTTCATCAACTTTCTTACTTTCTGTAGCCCACCAACCGGTGTATCCGTGCCAAAATCAACGTGGCCATGATCTGCCAGACCCTGGTGAGCCCTCCAGAGGGCAACAAAGAGATCAGCAGAGACAACGTCCTCTGTAAGATCACCTACGTGGCCAACGGTGAGTACAGCAGCTCAAGTCCTCTTTCATGTCCCCACTAGGTGGGGAGTTCATGGTTGTCATATGAGCCTGGTCAAGTTTATCCACCAACATGTCTTTTTTCTTTTCTGTTTTCTTCTATGTTCCATATTGGACCATGTACAAAGCTGCTCTGGTATTTGGAGCTTTATGGCAGAGCTTTGTGTGGGTGGAGAATGAAAGTTAAATGTTGATGAATGGTTTGGTATAGTGATTCTATCACACCATGTAGGCTCACTGTTTGTATGTGTGTGTGTATATATTGACTGAGTGGTTGTTTTTCCCTAGTGAATCCTGGAGGCTGGGCCCCTGCCTCAGTCCTCAGAGCCGTGGCCAAGAGGGAGTACCCCAAGTTCCTCAAACGCTTCACCGGCTATGTCCAGGAGAAGACCAGTGGAAAACCCATCCTCTTTTAAACCTGTACAGGTAACCGCTAACAAACAAACTCTTAAAGGCTCTGCATGGTCAATCCGACATCTGCAGTGGCCGTACAGCATTTACTGCGATACGGCCTTGGTAGAAGTCAGGGCATTCATACTATTTGCGCTTCGCAGAGCTGTTGTCAAGGAAGTGAGTGTGTTTATACAGGACCTCCCGCCCCCACCTACCTTCAACCAATCATGTCAATGCGGAGCTATACGGAGCCCTCCGCATTGTTACATAAATTGGGAGATGCACAGCATCGCTGTACAGAGCTTGATTTGGCCTCTGGAGGCTCTGCAATTGCGTTACAGCCTCCATACGGCGCCTCCAGACCATAGACATTTAATTACACTCTACCACACAAGTACAGTTAATAAATCAGATTTAGTGGAGTATCATTGTGTGCCATATAAGAGTTGTGTTATTTTTGGTAACTTTCCATCTCCTCTTCTCTCAGGCAGAACACATTTTGTCCTGAAGAGACATGGCTACATTTCCCATCATTTAAGGGGCTCCCACAGACTACATTACCCATTCATCTGTCAACCAGAATGTCTCCACAAACTATATTACCCATGATTCCACTGTCCAAAATGTCCCAGATGAAATATCCGTATCAAATGAGTAGACTGGTTTAGGGCTTTATTCTATCAGTAGTTGCTAGCCACCTGAGCCACAAAAACAACCAACATCGTCAAGCTGTCCGTGGATATGTATTTGTATATAAATTCAAGAATTTCTATGCCGATTTTTGAATCACCTGAACCAATTTTTTGCTTTTTGTAAATTGTTTTATACATTTCCAATTATTGCATAATTTTTGACTATACTTTTTTGTTTTCTTTAACCACTGATTGTTTTCATGCTGCTAATTTTACTACAAAAAAAGAATGAAAGTAGACAGACTGAGAGCAGTGTGTTGAGGCAGAGTATGGCTAGCCTTCGTCTTGTCCTCTCCTAGTGACGACCTGTCCTGGAGTCTGATGGGGGGGGGAGAGTCTAAAGCTCTGTACACTCTTTTTGGCTAAAATCTCTATATTTGTAGATCATTATACAGTAGCTGTAAAGGAACACTATGGATGTGATGTATTGTACAGACAATTTGTTTACCAGTGTATGTAATGTAAATGGACTGTTAAGGGGTTGAAAGTAAAGGGGGTTGGCGAATTGGAAGAACTACATAACTAGTCTCTATTTTCAAAGTAAGGTGATCTTTATGACAACGAACTGAATTTATGGTATAGATGGATAAGATTGAAGTCATTTGTTGAATGTGACCCATAAACACTAAGGAATCAAGTGTTGATGTTGAGTTTGCCCCCCACACACTCACCATGTTATGTACACGTAACATACAGCTGATGTACAGTCTACCACAGCATTGGGTGTTCAGATGGACCTCTTCATTGGCTTCAAAGGCATTTAGGACAGAGGAGATGGGGTTGTTGGGATGGACATTTTTTTTCTTCACATCCGAACACTGACCTGTCATCTCCCTCCCTTGTTAACCGGTCATAATGCCTTAGACACCAGGACAAACCCACAGTCGTCTATCTGCTACAGTATCATATGACCAGATGTGCGTTTTAAAATGAGATGCTACACTGGGACTGAGGGTCAGCATTTCACATGATTTACCTCATTTCTATTTCAGTTTACTTTAATTTAAAGTTGTGATTTTGCAATCGCCAAGTCTAAGGCTGAGGTTAGAATCCTCCAATCAGCTTCTCAGCTTGAGGGGTCGTAGGCCAGAGAATCCATGGGGAAACAACATTGCCATGACGATCAGAGGAGTGACTTCTAATGAGGAACTGAAGAATGCATTTAGCCTTTAATTTTGTCTGAGGAATTGACACGCTTTGTATATTTAAGTTGTACGTCTGAAGTGTTATCATTTGCTCTAAATGTAATGCAATTGGACAATGTTCTGTAAATTAAAGTTGTTACACTACAGAAATTAGGACTTGAATTTGTACTTAGTCATTACTCTACAGCAATGAGCTGCAGTTTTGTGTGGATGATGTGGCAGTGTACTGGAAGGGAAAGGGGGATACCTAGTCAGTTGTACAACTGAAATGTGTTTTCCGCATTTAACCCAACCCCTCTGAATCAGAGAGGTGCGGGGGGCTGCCTTAATCGACATCCACTTCTTCGGCGCACGGGGAACAGTGGGTTAACTGCCTTGCTCAGGGGCAGAACGACAGATTTTTACCTTGTCAGCTCGGGGATTCGATCAAGCAACCTTTCGACCTTCACGCAAAGTTAACCCTCTTTTTCTCTTGTTTTCATTCAAAGACAACCCTCTTCTACATGACAACAATGTATCTGACTTGAGGGAAATGTAGGGAAAGGAGAGATACTGCCATGAGGTAAAAAAAAAAAAAAGCTTCAATTGCAACTTATATTCGTGAGTTTTTTTGCGGCCTTTCTTTGTAAAGAGAAACAAGTGGAATGCATTTTTATTTATTTATAGGAGTCTTCTATATATAAACACACAGTCTTTACATTCAGTGATTAAAATATTTATCTTCAGCAAACTATATTTGAGATTTGTAATAAATTATGGTCTCAACTGACAGGTGTGATCACAGAATTCAGAGTTTGAGGTGTCATATAGATCTTCTCAGTCTAAAATGGAGGTGAACTACTGGTTAGTTAGCAATACGGAGGACACACTCATTCTTCAGTATCAAAGGATATCCTGAGAAAATCTTCAGTCGTGACACCCCTCCCTATAAAATTAGTCTCTGTGCATCAAGAAATCTACCATAGTCCTTGTCTGTGCACATGTACTTAGCAATGACATACATAGGTGTGCATAATGTAAAACTGTGTTTAGGTTTGGCGACCCACCTAAACACAACGTTCGAGGAAAAATAGTTCTTACAGTAATCATAACTAACATCCAAAGTGAGCGAGTGTATATCACCATCCTTCTGCTCTGTGCTTCCTCCTCCATGGAGCTGGAGATCCAAGAACACTGACCGGGTCTCCTCTTCTCAGGTCAACAGCAGCACTTAACCTGCTGCCTTAAAACTGCTCCTTTAACTTTAGTCCTGTCTGATTGGAATGAATAGCAAGGTGTTGGCTGGTTTGCTATTTTCAACATACCAGCCAATGTCTTTAGAGGTTGGCCTTGGCAGTTTCAGAATGAATATTTTATCTGTTCTTTTTACAGCGTAATACGAGTCCAGGCTCATCCATATTGGCCTTGTGTTTTCCATGTGGCCTTGTGTTTTCCATGTCACCGTTACACTTCTGCAATGGCCAAGATGTCACTAAATGTTCATTATCCAACCAGCTACTACAAAGCAAGTGCAATAACTTCTGGTCAGCAGGAAAATGAAAACAACATGAATGTATATTTCTATTTTCTATATATGCTTTTTCTGTATGTATATATTACTTTATAGGCCATGAAACAAATTATATTCTACAAAAAGAAAATATGAGGGACTTCACTGACATGCTCTAACAAGCATCACTCAGTTAGGGCTGAAATTGATCACATGAATTATGGAATGTCATGTAATTCCAATGGATGTCCATCATTGTGATTTTATTGGTGTCTTGTTTTAGTTCATCAGCTGTGAGCATCCCAGTCCTCTGTGTTTGGCAGAGTGGATTTAGCAGCGCTGGGGTCGGAGTCAATGGAGCCCTGTCCAATGGAGTGTAGCGATTGTCAGATGATTGACAAAAGTAAGATGGTGGAAAAGGTAGTCTGTAAGCCTCCCCTTTCACTGAAACACAGAAGAGAGTGCAGTGTGAGTAAATACTACAAATACAGCTTATTATATCCACTTGACAGACCTGCTCCTACAGGAGGGGTGTGCTAGTCAGAGCCCTATGGGCCCTGGTCAAAAGTTGTGCACTATATAGGGAATTGTATGGGAAGAGCAGTCGATTGACTGACCAGGGTCAACTACACCAACGTCTCTCTAATAAAAAGCCTGCCAAGATAATTAAAAGCATCACTTATCCCATTCTTCAGTTATGATGCCAGCGTGAGACAGAACTTGCTTAGGTAGGGAAGAACAGGAATTTGAACACTTCAGTGCATTTACTGTTTTCCAAAATTTAGAAGGATCACCAGCTGAGTCAGAGAGAGCTTAAAAAGTAGTTTGATTTAGCTTTTTTAATCGAGATAGTACAACTGTTTCTCAATTGTCTGAAAGATTGCCAGTCCACTACAGAGTCAGTTTTCCTTGATTTGGCCCAAGCCTGATTTCTCATCTGAATGAGCTCAGATAACTGAAGAAAACCAAGAATTCCATCTACATTACCTTTGACTGCATTGTTTAAAAGGGGCGTGTTAATCTTACAGATGAATAAATATGGAGGATACATTTTCTAGAGCCAACTCAGGGTCAGGAATACAGGAGACAGTGGCTAAATTAGAGTAGAACATGTCATGTAAAAACCCTTCAGCAGAAAATGTTTTAAAATGTATCTTCTTATCGGGAATAGGGTGTTGACCAGAGCCCTATGGGCCCTGGTCAAAAGTAGTGCACTATGTAGGGAATAGGGTGTAATTTGGGACACCCCCCGTGAGTGAGTACTCACTAAGTAGACATCGAGCACTGAGCCATTGTCCCGGTCCATGTCCACCTCTACATCCATGGTGCTCTGCTCTGACGTCAAACAGATGGCGCTGTCCTCAAGGGTGAATGTTGAGCTGGACGCCATGTCATCTCTGAGGGGACACAGGAGAACAAGAAACACACATAAGTAGATATACAAAATGTGTCCCAAATGGCACCCTATTCCCTACATAGTGCACTTATTTTGACCATAGTGCACTACTAACTGCATGGCAAATTAAAGAATCCAACATGAAAAAGACAGCCAGATGAAACCCCCTTCGAGTAAACAGAGAGGGAAACCAGTCTGGCTGTGTGTGTCTGATGTCTGGCTGTAGACTAGAGGTCTCTATGGGAAGTTAATATCTAAAAACTTACAAACAGGATATAAGCTAATTCAGGGAAGGGAATTCTGGGACATTCTGTTTTATGTGGAACTCCTTTACTGGACTAAAACACTGCATCGTGTGAACAGCAGGGGGCACTGGGGGCTGGCGTACATCTGAAACAGGCCATTTCCTTGATGCATGTCAGCTGTCTCCTGACTTTGCTTAAATTCAAGAATGTGTTTACCATTTTATGGCATGTTATTGCCTACCCCTCTTAAAAGGTGACATGCATGCATGCACACACACACACCTTAGAAAAGGGATTATCTACATACACAGAACAAGTCACCCTGGCAGCAAATTACACTCTTCTAACAATGCCTCTTAATCAGACCTTCTGAAAGCCTTCAGTCAAATATTAATGAAACACATTGATAGACGAATCGAGGGCAACAGACAGGTGCCCGAGAAGGGAACAAGACCAGGCAGGCCTCACAATGGAGGCTAACAGTTAGGGTTAGAACCTGATCCTACTGAACAGACAGACAGAGAGAGAGCTGGGGGGAGAGATGAGAGGAAAATAAACAGTTCTTTCTAGAGGGAGGTTAGAATTTAAAGTCCATGGTTTATGGACTGCACACTGCATCTGAACTGGATGTCGGTTGAGCACTGTGAATAAATGTCCAGTGAGGGCTTTCCTGGCTCTTCCTGGGTATCTATCTCTAGTGTATAACATGCTGTCACAAAGCCTGAGGACTCTGAGTAACCTGTTCCATGTGGCTTGTCATCACAACAGGTAGCTCAGTGATTTCACCGGTTATTATTTACTTTCTACTCTCCACCCTTGCACTCTCCCCTCAGGGGAATCCCTATGGCAGGCAGGGCTGATCAACTCAGGGGCCCTGCTGGTGATCTGATCTGGAGGGTTTGTTGGTTTAGTCACTGATTAGCTCAATTGTTTACTCACCTGGTGTCCCAGGTCAAAATCATTGTTGCCAATATTTACACAAGAGTGTAAATATAACCAATTTATTATTGGGCCTTTGAGAGGACAGGTAGAAGTGGAAGGGGTCCTGGGTGGAGGGATGGAGGGGATTGAGGAAACAGTCTCCAGGTAGAGGGATGGAGGGTATAGAGGAAACAGTCTCCAGGTAGAGGGATGGAGGGGATAGAGGAAACAGTCTCCAGGTAGAGGGATGGAGGGGATAGAGGAAACAGTCTCCAGGTAGAGGGATGGAGGGGATAGAGGAAACAGTCTCCAGGTAGAGGGATGGAGGGGATAGAGGAAACAGTCTCCAGGTAGAGGGATGGAGGGGATAGAGGAAACAGTCTCCAGGTAGAGGGATGGAGGGGATAGAGGAAACAGTCTCCAGGTAGAGGGATGGAGGGGATAGAGGAAACAGTCTCCAGGTAGAGGGATGGAGGGTATAGTGGAAACAGTCTCCAGGTAGAGGGATGGAAGGGAGACATGGAGGGGAGAGAGAGGTACCTGTCTTCAGACTTGGTCTCCAGGTTGACAAAGATGGAGGAGGAGGAGATGGTTCCCATGGAGGAGCCCTCGTAGGAGGACGGGGTGGCAGGGACTAGGTCAGGACACAGGTAGGAGCCAAACACTGGGAGAAACACACACAAACCCATGACCTCACAGAGAGATACACAAAAAGCCATGACCTCACTGAGAGATACACACAAGGCTATGAGCTCACAGAGAGATACACACAAAGCCATGACCTCACTGAGAGATACACACAAAGCCATGACCTCACTGAGAGATACACACAATGCCATGACCTCACTGAGAGATACACACAAAGCCATGACCTTACTGAGAGATACACACAAAGCTATGATCTCACTGAGATACACACAAAGCCATGACCTCACTGAGAGATACACGCAAAGCCAGGACCTCACTGAGAGATACACGCAAAGCTATAAGCTCACAGAGATGCACACAAAGCCACTAATGCCTTCAGTCAGTCAATGTATTATTAACCTTATTTGTATAACAGCAACCTGGGCCTAAACCACCAAAGAGTATGCAGATGTTATAGGGCAAGGACAAAGTCCTGGGTGCTTGTGCTGTACTATTAATTTAAAACATGTGATCTAAAGACATACAGTACAGACCAGATGTCAAAGCTACAGGACAGAACATGTGTGTTTGATTTAGTCTAATTAGATGAGATAAAACAATTATGTATTGTGCATAAAATTATTATGTAAGTGTCCCTACAATAACCTTTTGTCCCTCAAAATAGGGTTTGCTAACCAGACCGAAGGTATGCGTAGAATTGGTTAACTAGAATTTGTAGAGTAAGCTATTGAAAATGAAACTGTAAAATCTATAAAATGTCTTTATGGTATGTTATGTGATGGTTGGACATAGAAAGTGTACAAGAGTGCTGTTTAGTTAAAAGAATATTTCATATAAACTAAAGAAGCTATGTTGCAATATGAACTAAGACTTCTCTCTCTCTTATTCAGAAGTCCGCAACCTCATCTCTTCCTGTAATATTGGCCAACAGTGGTGTTACCGTAGAGCAGGGTTGCCCAACCCTGTTCCTGGAGAGCTACCCTCCTGTAGGTTTTCGCTCCAACCCCAAGTGTTACTAACCTGATTCATCTTATCAACCTGCTAATTATTGGAATCAGGTGTGCTAGATTAGGGTTGGAGCAAAAACCTACAGGACGGTAGCTCTCCAGGAACAGGGTTGGGCAGTCCTGTCGTAGAGGAAGAGTCATGAAGCTGAGGGACTACTGCGGACAGGGGCCTGATTCTAACCCAGCTAGCCATATACACCCCAGCCACTGGAGTCAGGGCCTGATTCTAACCCAGCTAGCCATATACACCCCAGCCACTGGAGTCAGGGCCTGATTCTAACCCAGCTAGCCATATACACCCCAGCCACTGGAGTCAGGGCCTGATAATGGCTCCTCAAGAGACAAAGAGAGAGAGTTTACATTGATAACGCTAACTCAATCACTCACACAGACACACACAGAGAGAGACAGAGAGAGAGAGAGGGAGAGACAGAGCGAGAGACAGAGAGAGACATACAGAGAGAGAGAGCGAGAGATGAGATAGGAGGACTGGCTGTTAATAACAGGATACAGACTGTGTTTTCTTTCCGGTGAGGCAACATTTCAGTGAGGGCTTGAGGTGGAGAGGACAGTGTTTTATGGCACTACTGAAGGACCAGTTTATGGGGACCAAGTGGTTCTAAAAGGCCCATCGATCCAGACATAACGAGAGGTGTGGTCTAATTGACAGATCTGGGAAGCGTAAGTGACTTCTCTCTGGTGCTTTTGGCTCAACCTCCAATGGGAAATACAACACATTAATGTGTGGATGATTGATAATAGTGTGCTGGTCTACCTTGTCCGTCTAGACTGGCCAGACTGCGTGCTCCTCCCAGCCGGTCCCTCCTCTCCTCCTCATTCTCTTCCTTCTGAGAAGACAGGATCTCCTGAGAGGACGACTTCAGAGCAGGGATGGACGTACGAGTCCTCTTAGAGGGGGAGAACCGAATGGCTGCAGAGAGACAGAGAGAGGGAGAGGGAAGTGGGATGGGGAGAGAGGGAGAGAGAAACAAGTGGTTGGGGAAGAGAAAAGGACAGCGTGTAGGGGAGAGAGTAAGGGGGTAGGAGTGAGGGAGTAGGGGAGAGAGTGAGGTGTTAGGGGAGAGAGTGAGGGGGGTAGGGGTAAGAGTGAGGGGGTAGGGGTGAGAGTGAGGGGGTAGGGGTGAGAGTGAGGGGGTAGGGGTGAGAGTGAGGGGGTAGGGGTGAGAGTGAGGGGGGTAGGGGTGAGAGTGAGGGGGGTAGGGGTGAGAGTGAGGGGGTAGGGGTGAGAGTGAGGGGGGTAGGGGTGAGAGTGAGGGGGGTAGGGGAGAGAGTGAGGGTAGAGCAAGAGAGAAAGAGGGAGAGATGGAGGGAACAGATTACCCTGATTGCAACCATTATCGTGCATAATCAAGCTTGAAACATCTGTCCCAAATTAGCAGTAAAATTATCAAACTGTTAACGCATAATGATCATTATGCAACTGTCCCCCAGACGTTCCATTCTGACTCCCAAGCAGAGCATGAAATCCTCTCCCCTCCCCATTATATCTAACTGTGCAGAAGCATTGCCATAATAACACCAAGCAGCTAAATCCCAAATCATTGCAGAAACCATCTTCATTAAATCAGCATTGCACACTGCTTTATTTCATCTTGAAACATTCCACAAGTCAAAACCCTGAAATGAGAAGGGCTTCAGCCACTTGGGTGGGTTCCTAAATTACCCCCACTGGGGGGCTGGCATGGCCACCACCCGAAACAGAGGGCAGAGGGCAGAGGGCAACCATAGAGTCCTGTTAATAGGGCGAAACTAAACACCTCTCTGATAACAACAAGCTATTTCTGGGAATATTATTCTGTTTGGTAAAAGTACTAAAGGCAGAACAGAACTACTAAAATATGCAACTACATAAATATATGCATTACTGTAAGTCGCTTTGGATAAAAGCATCTGCTTAATGGTATACAGTTTATTATATATTGAGAATCAATGTCAAGAATCTATATCAGTATGTCAGCGTAAGCTGAAAGCACAGCGAGAGGAGCTGAGGGAGGGTTTGAAACCTGACCTATTTAATTGACTGACAACAGTGTGCATGTGTAACTGGATCATCCACATAACAAACTGGTAACACACAATCACTTCCTCTCACAGGATAAATGTATACTGTACATCAACACAGCTGTTTTGTTGCCTTCAACACAGTGGATATCCCTATATTTACTGGAATGTTCAGTGAGTCCTAGTTAAACAACATCGTTATGTTATATATTCTATTACATCAAGATATGACTGTAACATAATAACCTACAGTGTCTATCAATCATATCCACTCCACAATCACCTGCTATTGCAGGTGACTAACACATCAATCTGTACAAACATTACCAATAGTTTACAGTTGACTAAACTGTCCGTGACACACCGATGTAGTGTTATTGTAGTCTCAGTATCTGAGTCAGCCCTCATACCCTTTTTACCATTACCCTTGTTTTCTGGTCCCAGTGCCTGGCATGTGTGACAGTTTAAGTCCTAACATAAATGTTTCCCTGTCATAGGGGACTGAGTAACAGAAGCCAGCAGACTTACTCTGAGTCTTCCGGAACACCGAAGTGCTCATGAACTTGAGGAATCGGTTGGCATAGAAACCAGGCCGGTGCACAGAGACAGAGTCCTGAGGACAGAACAGAAGACAATACAGGCTTTTATCAGAGAAGGCTATTTGAGATCAATAAGAATGGAACCTATGAATGGTGTGTATTCAGAAGGACACACGTATCAGATGTGCAGCATATCAACTTACGCCGTCGTAGACCAGGGCTTTCCATGAGTGTTCCAACTTCTTAATGAATCTGAGGGGGGAACAAGAAGCCTTGTAACAAACGGAGCTTGTTATGCAACAAACCCAACCCCCCCACCAAGCCCCATCACCCAAAACCTGAGATGCTTCCCCTTGACACCAAAGACAGAACAGGAACCACAGCAGTTTAATATTACGTAATATGCTCCCATTCTAGTTACATTTTACACTGTAATTGATGGACTGAAGAAAGCAAACAGTTGGCAAGGGAAGAGGATTAAGATGAAAATATATATGGGGAACAATATGAAGCTATCCATTACATTGTGTTCATTATGTAACTCCCCAACCAAGATACTGACAGCTAGGTCCTGAGGTCAGCTTAGAGATGCTGAGATATGGACAGGGGAACAGGGGACAAGCTTTAGGGACACTTCTGTCTCTCTGACCCAAGAGGCTTGTCACACAGAGGAGCTTCTCTCTCTTTCTCTCTCTCTTTTTCCCCTCTTCCTACCTCTTCTCTCTCCCTCACTCCCCGCATTGGGACAGAAAATCAATGCTTCACCAGAGTGAATAGGAAAGACTGATATCTACAGAACCCTTTTTAACAGAGTTGGATAGAAAAGGATGCTTTAAGGACCCAGGGGAGTGGTTGTTTGATATCCATCAATCAAACTATTTAATGCTAACTAGTCTGTGGTAGCAACGATGCCCATCGAAAAAACAACCCTGTGAGGGTTATCAAACCCTCCATGTTACAGAATATTATAGTATGATATTATGCAATATAATACATGTTATAGCATGTTATGAAGTCATGTTTTACCTGTAGGACTGCAGGATGTCGATGATGCCCAGGAAAATAAGCAGCTTCTCTTCTTTGTGTGATTTGGCAGGAATTCCACCCATCCTGAAATACAGCACAGTAAATACCGGTCCAATCACAGAATGTAGTCAGTCAGGATTATCTGCAAAGTCATCCTTCAAACATTCACCTCAAGTCTTAAAAGCATCTCAGGTTGTCAGGACACACATTAAGGGTTTTGATCATTGTAAGTGTTTGTAAGAGTTTTGCCATGTATTTTTCAGTGTATGTGAATGTGAGTACGTTTAAATGTCATCAAACTATTACTATGTACAGTTGAAGTCAGAAGTTTACATACACCTTAGCCAAATACATTTCAACTCAGTTTTTCACAATCCCTGACATTTAATCCTAGTAAAAATTCATGTCTTAGATCAGTTAGGATCACCACTATATTTTAAGAATGTGAAATGTCAGAATAATAGTAGAGAGAATTATTTCTTTCAGCTTTTATTTCTTTCATCACATTCCCAATGGGTCAGAAGTTTACATACACTCAATTAGTATTTGGTAGCATTGCCTTTAAAATTGTTTAACTTAGGTCAAACGTTTCGGGTTTTGGCCCATTCCCCCTGACAGAGCTGGTGTAACTGAGTCAGGTTTGTAGGCCTCCTTGCTTGCAAACGCTTTTTCAGTTCTGCCCATAAATATTCTATAGGATTGAGGTCAGGGTTTTGTGATGGCCACTCCAATACCTTGACTTTGTTGTCCTTAAGTCATTTTGCCACAACTTTGGAAGTATGCTTGGGGTCATTGTCCATTTGGAAGACCCATTTGCGACCAAGCTTTAACTTCCTGATTGATGTCGTAAGATGTTGCTTCAATATATCTACATAATTTTCCTTCCTCATGATGCCATCTATTTTGTGAAGTGCACCAGTCCCTCCTGCAGCAAAGCACCCCCACAGCATGATGCTGCCACCCCCGTGCTTCATGGTTGGGATGGTGTTCTTCGGCTTGCAAGCAACCCCCTTTTTCCTCCAAACATAACGATGGTCATTATGGCCAAACAGTTCTATTTTTGTTTCATCAGACCAGAGGACATTTCTCCAAAAAGTATGATCTTTGTCCCCATGTGCAGTTGCAAACCGTAGTCTGGCTTTTTTATGGTGGTTTTGGAGCAGTGGCTTCTTCCTTGCTGAGCGGTCTTTCAGGTTCTGTCGATATAGGACTTGTTTTACTGTGGATATAGATACTTTTGTACCTGTTTCCTCCAGCATCTTCACAAGGTCCTTTGCTGTTGTTCTGGGATTGATTTGCACTTTTCGCACCAAAGTACGTTCATCTCTAGGAGACAGAACACGTCTCCTTCCTGAGCGGTATGACGGCTGCGTGGTCCCATGGTGTTTATACTTGCGTACTATTGCGGACTATTGTTTGTCTTTTCTGATTTCTTTTGATTTTCCCATGATATCAAACAAAGAGGCACTGAGTTTGAAGGTAGGCCTTGAAATACATCCACAGGTACACCTCCAATTGACTCAAATGATGTCAATTAGCCTATCAGAAGCTTCTAAAGCCATGACATCATTTTCTGGAATTTTCCAAGCTGTTTAAAGGCACCGTCAACTTAGTGTATGTAAACTTCTGACCCACTGGAATTGTGATACAGTGAATTATAAGTGAAATAATCTGTCTGTAAACAACTGTTGGAAAAATTACTTGTGTCATGCACAAAGTAGATGTCCTAACCGACTTGCCAAAACTATAGTTTGTTAACAAGAAATTAGTGGAGTGGTTGAAAAACGAGTTTTAATGACTCCAACCTAAGTGTATGTAAACTTCCGACTTCAACTGTATATGATTGTGTACTGTTCGTGTGTTTATCTTTGAATGTGTATGGGCAGTATGACTGAGGTGAGCTGACTCACGTGTCGTCTGTGGTGTGGGCCTCGGCAGCCTTGCCGTCCCCCTGGATAGACTCCATGGCTGTGGAGTAGAGGACCCTCTGGGCCACGGGCCGCTTGCCGTCCCCCCCTGCCTGACCCGGCTCGCCGCCCTCTTTCGGACTCTGGTCCAGGACATGCACGGCCAGAAGCAGACTGTAGTCCATGATCTTAAAGCTCTCCAACACCTGCAGCACACAACATGAAACCACATGGTTAATTAACATAATCTGAAACAACATCAAAACAACCCATAGGCTAGCAAAGAGTGGAAAAACAGTTGGAGCTGTGTTGGCCTTGCTCTAAGTCCGGAAACTGACCCATATCAGACACAGCTGTGTGCATTTTAAACAAAAGTGTGACCCATATTTCTGTGTGACCCAAGATAAATAGGCAATAGTGATATTATATTCCATTCTACTCTGTAGACCGGAGGATTTAGTTACACAGACCTGAAAAGTGCAAAGTGTGTCATGTAACCGCTACGCTAAGCATTTTCATTACCCTGAAGATTGGTGCCTCAAACACCAGAAAGAATTTAAGAAACCTTTCTGTAACCGACACTTGAGCTACAGTTTATAAACAAAGGTGTGACAGTTGAGTCATGTATTACACATTGACCTGTGTGAGGGGCCTTCTGCCCGTCTGCTCCCAGGGTTTCTCAGGCCCCAGGTTTCCTCTCACTGCTCAAATGGAACAATCACATGACACCAGAGGGGTCTCAAGAAACACAATCTGAAAATGGGGTCAAGGGCGCAGTCAGGCCTCTGAGTACCAATGCAGGGTGGGTTTAGCCTTGCTGGAAGTGCTTTTGCATGCAAAATGAGAGTGTGTGTGTGTGGACGTGGGCTTGCTTGCTTGATATGTGGAAAGTCATCCTTTTTATAATGCCTTCAGACATAATAAGATTAGCTTATTTTGGATGCAAATCTGATCATCTAGTTTGCCTGATTGAATCTTCTCATTCTAAGCATTAGTGTAGCAATCCCCAAAACATCCAAAAATAGCAATCTCTGTCTGTCTGTCTGTCTGTCTGTCTGTCTGTCTGTCTGTCTGTCTGTCTGTCTGTCTGTCTGTCTGTCTGTCTGTCTGTCTGTGTCTGTCTGAGAGATGACAACAAGAAACAAAAAGCAGGAACAGGGAAGGAAACAGCAGGTTGTGGAAAGTCTGTCATAATGTGGAACACCCAGACAAATGCGGCTTGAACGCAGACGTAAAAATTACAGGAATGGTCATCATGATCGTCATCGTAACCCCTAGAGTCTGCTCTCAGTTGGATTCCGTAAACCGTATTTCCAACATCGTGAACGTCCAAAATGGCACCCTATTCACTAGTTCAAAAGTAGTGCACTATAAAGAGCATAGGGCACCATAACAGACTCAGCCATCATTATCCGTTATATGGAACTGGCTAGTAGAAAACAGACTAAGGAATATCATGGTTCATTAGTTATTTAGTGTCCTTTTATGACTTTGCAAATCACGAACAAGCACACACGCACAGCCACACAAACACACACAGCCACACAAACAGCCACACAAACACACACAGCCACACAAACACAGCCATACACACACACACACACACAAACATACACACACACAGCCACACAAACACACAGCCACACACACACACACACACACACACAGCCACAGCCACACAAACACACACATTCAGAATAAACACTTGTGCTCTTGTTCGAGCTTTGCCTTTTCCATGTCTCTGATTTGCATCCCTTCCTCCTGACTCCCCCGTCCTTTTCAAAGGCAACCATTTTGAATAGAGCCACACACCAACCTGCTCGGAAAAGGCTATACGGACACTCCTGACCTGCAAACCGATATTTAATTTCAGAATTGGTTAAAATCAGGTTAGGCTTAGGGTTTGGTTAAGGTTAAGGTAAGGGTCAGTTTTAGATTTTGGTTTTTTAGAGGTGAGGAGTGTCCTTAAAATAATTACATTTCTCAGCTTTTACATTGACATTTCATGTAGTGTCTCCATTCCATGTTACCATTTCCAATTCAATGACTTTCCATATGTTTTTTATGTTAGGTAGCCAAAGTAGAGCACTACATGGGGAATAGGGTGTCATTTGAGATCAGCCGTGGTTTGATTGGTTTTGTGAGAGAGGGCATTGTTGTCCCTGTCATGTCCAATGGAATGACAGAATCACATGACATGGCAGGAGGAGAGGGGGACCCATAAAAGGTTGTTTTTGTCGGACAACATGACTCGCCTCGAGTTCTATAACAATTATGAGAAGAAAACAAATCCCAACCATTCTGTGTGTGTTTGTGCAGGGATTAAGAAATCGTTAAGACACTTTATGTTGGTGTTTCCTTTATTTTGGCAGATACCTGAATGTTCTTGTGATAAAACTTAATCCACAGTAATGATTTTATAAACTATTGATCCTCTGTGGCTAAATGATGCTCTCTGTTGTATTTTGAACATTGCCTCTTGCGGCCCAGCCTACGGGCTTGGGCCCAGCCCCTGACTCACACAATTGACCAGTCACATTATGCAGTTATTATACAGTTTATTATATACAGTATATATTTCCTTCTTTTTTTTTGCTGCATCTTGGACCCCCCACGGGCTTGGGCCCAGGAGCTTCAGCCCCGGTAAGCCCCTGCATTAATCCGGCCCCTTTGTGTGTGCGTGCGTGTATGCTTGTATGTGTGCATGTGAGCGTACGTGTTTGTTTCTGTCTCAAATTAATAGGGGGATTCCCAGACAAAAACCTTTTCAGACATCAAGCTAAATGCCACTCCACGTCCCACTGCCCTAGTCACAAACAGACCTCAACAACATCTCAGAGCCTAGCCATGCAGTGACAATTACATTGCTCTCTGTTACAAGATAGAGTCTAAACAATGGCCCTCAAGCTGTGTCTGTCTGCATGCCTCCCTCCCTCCCCTCTCTCTCCCTCCCTCCCTCCATCTTCTCTCTCCCTCTCTCGTTCTAGTCATAGCACTGGGCATGGTTTATTCATGTTCTTAGTTCATTCGCCATATGGAGGGCATTGAGGGAGCTGCTGTGAGATGGAGAGGAGGGAAAAAGTACTCTACATTTCCCTCAGTGACCCACATACAGCAGCAGAAACTTCCTGGTCTCCCTCTCTCAACTCACCCCTTACCTCCCCTCCATACCCTGGCTGAATCTCCTTACAACCCTAACCTCTTCCTCCCCCTCACATGTCCCTCTCGATCCCCCTCTATCCCCCTCTCCTGTTTTTCGGTGCTGCAGCAGGCTCTGGGGCTAGGGGTTTACTGCTTACTCATGGAAACGGACAGAGATTCTGCTTAGGGGGCACTTTGCTTACCGCTCAGGAGGGGAAAGCAGGAAGCCGTGACAATAACAAACTAGCTACAGTCCAGTCACTTACAGTACAACCACTGCTCAGACACACACACAGCTCACTAGCGTTAAACATTTAAAGAGGTCTCATGCTGAACTTCTGTTCTGGGTTATAGTTACAGAATGTATTTATGTCTCTTAACAACTCTCCCTACTGAAAAAACTACAAAATAAGAAAACATTTACACAAGGAGGCGTCTCAAAAACAAATATTGTGTCAGATTCATGATGTCAAAGACACTGTGCTCCAGCCCCACTGTCCACACAGACAGACCCCCCCCCCCCCCCCCCCCCCCCCCAAACAGACAGACACAGCCCCACTGTCCACACAGACAGACACAGCCCCCCCCCCCCCAAACAGACAGACACAGCCCCACTGTCCACACAGACAGACCCCCCCCCCCCCCCAAACAGACAGACACAGCCCCACTGTCCACACAGACAGACACAGCCCCCCCCCCCCCCCAAACAGACAGACACAGCCCCACTGTCCACACAGACAGACACAGCCCCCCCCCCCCCCCCAAACAGACAGACACAGCCCCACTGTCCACACAGACAGACACAGTCCCCCCCCCCCAAACAGACAGACACAGCCCCACTGTCCACACAGACAGACACAGTCCCCCCCCCCCAAACAGACACAGTCATTATGAAACCTGGCCCTGGAGCACTAATGACCTGCATGAAACACTGTTCCCTTTATACTTTGAAGTACAGAGGAAGTGAGAGAAGAAAGAGATAGGGAGGGACAGAGAGACAGAGGTCCTCTAAAAGACTTCAAACAAGAGGCCATCTTAGAGTGTCTGTGAATAGGGCTGGCGCAATTACAGCCTAACCGTGTAACCGACAGTTATGGATAAAGACCATCATGAAAATAAAATAACCGCTATTCCAATGGTTATTACGGTGACCATCACAGCCCTATCTGTAAACCACTGTTATCCCCTCTTCACCATTCTGAGCTAATAGAAAGTCAACATTGAGGAGTGTGTGAGTTTAGTTAACAAACACAAGGAGAGCAGAGGAGATGAATCAGCCAGCTATAGCAGCCAAAGCCATCAAGGCGTGACTCCAGGCGGTGTCCCAAAGGGGAGTCATCAGAAACACACAGGACTGCCTGTTACCAAACAGGCCTATATATACCCACAACACCATGTTACTCATGCAGACTAACTCCATTCATTAAATCACCACTTGTCGTTTGCTGTTGAAAAACAGCTCCGTTTTGCTAATCTCAGAGTCTCTGATAAAATGAAAGTACCTAAACCTGGTTCACAGAAGCCATAATGTTGTTATGGGGGAGTAAAACAAATGCCCTTGACAATCACATCGTAGGCTGTAACGTTTCCACGTTTTCAAAGGTTGGATACCTTAAACAGGAGGTGTGTCTTCCTTCCTGTTCCTGGTCTACTTCCTGATGTCTACATCCTGGTTGGAGACAGAGTGAAGCACCCCGTGTCAGGAGACAGACAGACAGGGGAACACTACCATGCTCTCTCTGTCAGGGACAACACACACACTGTCACAACATAGGGCTAACAGCTTCTGGTTTAAAGTTGTCCTTCCCTAGGCACATATCTAGGATCAGCTAACCCTCCACATATACTAACTGTAACTTAACTGTTGAAAATGCTAAAATGACCTTAGATCAGTGCCTAGGGGCAACTTCATCCTTCTCCCACATGAGATATGTGCCGTCATCCCCTCTGAGCTAGCACAGAAGGCCAGGGTTATGTACAGTACATAGGGTAATGTAAGAACTATACTGTATAATAATAGCTGAATAAGACTATTCACCATTGTCAATGATTATGTGATCACCATCCATTTGATCTGTGACAGTCCACATTATGATTGATTACGTGTTTTCAATCAATCAACCAATTTTCCATTTACAATCAGGTAGTGTAGGTTTAAGCAGAGCACAATGACAGAACACAATGACAACATTGATATATAAGATAGATATACACTGAGTATACCAAACATTAGGAACACTTTCCTAATATTGAGTTGATGTCCTTTAGGTGGTGGACCATTCTTGATACACACAGGAAACTGTTGAGCGTGAAAAACTCAGCAACGTTGCAGTTCTTGACACAAACCGGTGCGCCTAGCAACTACTAACATACCCCATTCAAAGGCACTTAAATCTTTTGTCTTGCCCATTCACCCTCTGAATGGCACACATACACAATCCATGTCTCAAGGCTTAAAAATCCTTCTTCAACCTGTCTCCTCCCCTACAGCTACACTGATTGAAGTGGATTTAACAAGTGACATCATTAAGGGATCATAGCTTTCACCTGGATTCACTTGGTCAGTCAGTCTATGTCATGGAAACAGCAGGTGTTCTTAATGTTTAGTAGACTCAGTGTACAGCATAGTAGTGCCGTAGGCCTATAGTTCTCTAGGTTGACTTGTTGTGGTCCTGTTTGTTCTATGTATATTTTAGGAGTGGTAAAGTAGCTCCTGGCTCCTGGCTCAGAGCAGAGTTGTGGTGTTCTGTTAAACAATAGCTCTGATCCCACTACTTCACTAGATTAGACAGGCCAATCTGAAATAGACAGGAATGCAGCCTCAGATTGGACTCCTATCTTTAGACTGGTGCTCTCTCTTACTTTCTCTCTCTCACGCTGCTGGGAACATTTCTTAATCACATTCAGTGTTTTGAGAGCTGTCATGGAACTGAACAGAGCTCAGAGCTCCCAATGAACCCACAGTGGAAACACACAGTCCCAGTGCCCAACGCTGCAGAAACACACAGTCCTCTTTCTCAAAACACTCTGTCCAACCCTACAAACACACACACACACACACACACACACACACACACACACTGTTCTGGGCTTGTATACAATGTGGCAGAGTATGAAGTGGAAGAGTGGAGAGAGAGTGTGTGTGGGTGTGGCGCATGTGCGTGCGTGCATACTTGCATTAGTGTACATGCGTGTGTGTACAGTTGAAGTCGGAAGTTTACATACACTTAGTTGACTGTGCCTTTAAACAGCTTGGAAAATTCCAGAAAATGATGTCATGGCTTTAGAAGCTTCTGATAGGCTAATTGACATCATTTGAATCAATTGGAGGTGTACCTGTGGATGTATTTCAAGGCCTACCTTCAAACTCAGTGCCTCTTTGCTTGACATCATGGGAAAATCAAAAGAAATCAGCCAAGACCTACGAATTTTTTTTTAGACCTCCAGAAGTCTGGTTCATCCTTGGGAGCAATTTCCAAACGCCTGAAGGTACCACGTTCATCTGTACTAACAATAGTACGCAAGTATAAACACCATGGGACCTATAAATAAATAATTCTCTCTAGTATTATTCTGACATTTCACATTCTTAAAATAAAGTGGTGATCCTAACTGACCTAAGACAGGGAATTTTTACTAGGATTAAATGTCAGGAATTGTGAAATACTGAGTTTAAATGTATTTGGCTAAGGTGTATGTAAACTTCCGACTTCAACTGTAGCTGTGTGTACGTGTATGCAGTGTATACTATTTGAGCGTGTGTACTGAGTGCAGAGTATCTTGTTTGAATGGGAGAGGTTACTGATTTCCCATAGACAGAGTGAGTCCAGCTACAAATACAATCTGTGTCCTTTCCTACTTCTGGCATCTGACCCAATGTCCAAGGGATGACATCACAAGTCCAGAGTTTGGGAATGAAAAGAGCAGACCATAGAGATGAGCTTACAGATAGTGCTATCAATTGAGCCTTCTCATCTGATAGTACTTCTAGTTTCTAATTCTAGCATGACTGGAAAAGCCAGAATGACTCTCCATAAACTGTATACAATACTGAAAGAATGTGAGGAATCTGCTTTGTTTTGTTAAACTGCCTCTGCAATGTGTTTGCTAAGATGTGTTGCAATACTGGGATGACTCGGGAAGTTTAAATGACATAACATTCAAACCAGCTGTGTAATCTGCTTTTCTTGGTACTCAAGACAGTGTTGTAGCACAGCTTCGCCAGGCCCCACCACAAGGTCGGAGCTTGAGCCCGACTCGACAGTCGGACTGACAGACGGATGAACAGAGACACACACCTGTCCGAGTCCACACCTACCCGGCAGTCTCTCTGTAGGGTCTTCATCAGGGCATTGTATGTTTCAGCGTCGAAGTAGAGCCCTTCATGCATGTCCTGGAAGTCCAAGTCCTTGTAGACGGGACAGGCCTTCTCCCTCTCCTTCCTGGAGGCACGTCTCTTGTAGGTTGAGCCCTTCAGATCGTACTTGTAGTGCATCTTGACGGAGCGCGGCAACACGTTGTTCATCACCACCAGCCGGATGTTGACGCCTCCAGACTGGATGCAGTATAAGCCGTAGAACTTAGGCAACAGCGTGCGTGGGTTCTGGTTCAGGTTCTGTGTGTGGATGTGGAGAGACAGGTGGATTACAGTAAGTCGATTATTAAGGTTCTGGATTGAGGTTAGAGTTCATATAGCTCTGGATACTCAGTTAACCATTAATCCCAAACCTTAAACATCAGTTTTATTCCACTGTTTAAAGGCCTGAGACCAGAAATGACACCCTATACCCTATTTAGCGCACTACTTTTGAACAGAGCTCTATGGGCCCAGGTCAATAGTAGTGCACTATATAGAGAACGCAGACCAGGTTGGGTAGGTTACTCACCATGTAGTAACCTGGGAGTAGTTTCTGGAGAAACTCTGCCTCTTTGTGCTGGACAGTTTTGATGATGAACTCGTCATCGCTGGTAAGGTAGAACAGAGAGCCGCTGGCCCCGGGGTTGGACAGCTCAATCAGAGGCTCATTACAGATAGAGTACTGAGGAGAAAAACAACAACACAACTGGTTTAGTAAACAACAACACACAATATAACTGGTTTAATATGCCTGTAAAAACAACAACACAATACAACTGGTGAGGTATGCCTGTACAACCATAACCTAGTCGCAGATCTGTTTGTGCCATTGAACGAGCTGTCTAATCCTGGGAAACATCCTCAGGAAAATAAAGTTCTCTCCTGATTTATAAAGCACAACTTATACCATGGACAAACAACTAACACACCACCGTTGTTTATTGTGTGGTTAAAAAACTTGTATTCCAATTGGGGTGGTCTGGAAAACAAACATACTGTTTCATTCATTCAAAGATGCTTGAGTGGCTTTTCTGGCGCGGTATATCATTAACACTCACCCACGCACACACGCACACCCCCTACCTCACACACACACCCTACCTCTCACACACACCCTAACTCTCACACACACCCTAACTCTCACACACACACACACACGTTACAAACTGAGTGAAAGGTCTGTTTTGCTAGGAGTGTCTTTAGACAGGTGGTCAATAGTTCAGTGAGGGTGTGGCATCAGTATTGTAGTTGGAGATTCATTCAGCTTTTACAAACCACATATTTAGCTTTATTGCTTCCACAGAGCTCATCTAAGACCAGCAATAAGCCTCAGAGCACGGGGTGAATGTATTGTTTCCACCAGCATGTGGGTGTGTTTATCAGTTGTACCTTCACAAACAAAGCCCATGTCTGTACACAAAATAACATTTCCAGTTTAGCTTACATGAGATGAGCCTCTGGCAATAGAGCCTACGTACAACAACCGTTCCAAGAACATCTCTTGTGTTATTCTTCATATGAACAGAAAAGCCCTAGTCTAACATAGAACCCCCTCTGTGTGGAAATCAAAGGAATAGGGGAAGTCAGTGAGGAAAGGCAGAAGTGGTGTGTTCATTAAACACTAGTTTTTCATGATAAGTGCAGTAGAAGGGAAACAGCGCTGTGTGTTCTGAGAGAGAGAGAGAGAGAGAGAGAGAGAGAGAGAAGGCATGGGATTCTCCACAGACTCTCTGACTGATGGCAGTCTGCAATCACGTTGAGCCCACAGCACGAACACATCCGCAATTTATCTGCATTTGCATTCAGGAGCCTGGGGGGTAGTGTGTGTTTGTGTCTATGAGTGAGAGAGTGTGTGTTCTGTCTTAATTAAGCTGATTTGTTGCTTCGGTCTCTGAATAAATGCATAATCAACACAAGGACACACATTAAGACAGCGTTTGCTTCACCCTTCAGTCTCTCTCCCTCTTTCAGTCTGCCTTTCTCTGGCTTTCACTCTTTCTTTGCTTGTCGTGTACCCTTTTGTCTGCTAGCAATGATGACTGATGATGAATGCAGAAAGTGGCAGGACATTCATAAGAGCTGTGGTGAGGCTGGGTGCAACAGCCTTGAAGTAAAGAGCGTGAATACAAAACATAAAGCTATGGGCATAATAGAAAAGAATGGTAGAAAATAATTTCAAATGATAAGTGTGAGTGGAATAATATATAGATATAGACAGCATACAGTATGATATATGTACAGTTGAAGTCGGAGGTTTACATACACCTTAGCCAAATACATTTAAACTCAGTTTTTCACAATTCCTGACATTTAATCCTAGTAAAAATTCCCTGTCTTAGGTCAGTTAGGATCACCACTTTATTTTAAGAATATGAAATGTCAGAATAATAGTAGAGCGAATGATTTAGTTCAGCTTTTCTTTCTTTCATCATATTCCAAGTGGGTCAGAAGTTTACATACACTCAATTAGTATTTGGTAGCATTGCCTATAAATTGTTTAACTTGGGTCAAACGTTTTGGGTAGCCTTCCACAAGCTTCCCACAATAAGTTGGGTGAATTTTGGCCCATTCCCCCTGACAGAGCTGGTGTAACTGAGTCAGGTTTGTAGGCCTCCTTGCTCGCACACGCTTTTTCAGTTCTGCCCACACATTTTCTATAGGATTGTGGTCAGGGCTTTGTGATGGCCACTCCAATACCTTGACTTTGTTGTCCTTAAGCCATTTTGCCACAACTTTGGAAGTATGCTTGGGGTCATTGTCCATTTGGAAGACCCATTTGCGACCAAGCTTTAAATTCCTGACTGATGTCTTGAGATGTTGCTTCAATATATCCACATCATTTTCCTTCCTCATGATGCCATCTATTTTGTGAAGTGCACCAGTCCCTCCTGCAGCAAAGCACCCCCACAGCATGATGCTGCCACCCCCGTGCTTCACAGTTGGGATGGTGTTCTTCGGCTTGCAAGCTGCCCCCTTTTTCCTCCAAACATAACAATGGTCATTATGGCCAAACAGTTCTATTTTTGTTTCATCAGACCAGAGGACATTTCTCCAAAAAGTATGATCTTTGTCCCCATGTGCAGTTGCAAACTGTAGTCTGGCTTTTTTATGGCGGTTTTGGAGCAGTGGCTTCTTCCTTGCTGAGCGGCCTTTCAGGTTATGTCGATATAGGACTCGTTTTACTGTGGATATAGATACTTTTGTACCTGTTTCCTCCAGCATCTTCACAAGGTCCTTTGCTGTTTGCATTTTTCGCACCAAAGTATGTTCATCTCTAGGAGACAGAACGTGTCTCCTTCCTGAGCGGTATGACGGCTGCGTGGTCCCATGGTGTTTATACTTGTGTACTATTGTTTGTACAGATGAAGGTGGTACCTTCAGATGTTTGGAAATTGCTCCCAAGGATGAACCAGACTTGTGGAGGCTACAATTCTTTTTCTGAGGTCTTGGCTGATTTCTTTTCATTTTCCCATGATGTCAACCAAAGAGACACTGAGTTTGAAGGTAGGCCTTGAAATACATCCACAGGTACACCTCCAATTGACTCAAATGATGTCAATTAGCCTATCAGAAACTTCTAAAGCCATTACATCATTTTCTGGAATTTTCCAAGCTGTTTAAAGGCACAGTCAACTTAGTGTATGTAAACTTCTGACCCACTGGAATTGTGATACAGTGAATTATAAGTGAAATAATCTGTCTGTAAACAATTGTTTGGAAAATTACTTGTGTCATGCACAAAGTAGATGTCCTAACTGACTTGCCAAAACTATAGTTTGTTAACAATAAATGTGTGGAGTGGTTGAAAAATGAGTTTTAAGACTCCAACCTAAGTGTATGTAAACTTCCGACTTCAACTGTATATATACTGTATATACTGTATGGTAGTACTGCATATTGAAACTCCATGGTGTATTCTCCTCTGCTCTACCTGTTCCAGTGATAATGACAGCAGAATAATAGAGAGTGGTAATGACTTTGACCTGAAGGGCCTCTCTCTCTGACATGCCTCCTGAGTTGGATCGGTCAGCAAGGGGTAAACTCCTGATACTCCTGATATACCGCGCCAGTAAACTCCACAGCTGGATACGTAGAACAGGGTAAAACCACTGCTCTCACGGGGTGGCAGGTAGTCTAGCGGTTAAGAGCTCAACAGGTCGCTGGTTCGAATCCCCGAGCTGACTAGGTGAAAAATCTGTCGATGTGCCTTGAGCAAGGCACTTAACCCTAATTGCTCCTGTTAGTCGCTCTGGATAAGAGCGTCTGCTAAATTACTAAAATGTTTACATGTAAACGTATAAAATACACTTTAGTCACCACTGATCCCAATGAGTTGATTGGAGAAAGCTACTGTACATGATAGGTAGGATGAACTCTAACCTATAGGATGTGTCTCGATCAGGTGCAGTGTTTAGACCTACCAGGTAGTCATCTGGTTTGATCCCGAAGAGCTCTCGGAAGTAGCGGAACGCCAGCGGGGCGTAGGTTTTGAAGCGAAAGTCTGGGTAGTGGTGCGCCGGTGTTAGGTTGCTCCCTTCGCTGATGGAAACAAGACCAACCGGACAACATAGACACAGAACAGTTAGTTAGAATATCCTCACAAACACATTTTGCAAACAATTATCACACACTCTCAGCAAAGAGGGAGGGGGGGGTCTATAACTAGAACACATCTTCATGTCAGAGCATTCAGCCCATTCAGTTCCATTCAGCGTGGCATGAAGTAACGCGACACACCTCCGTGTGTATTGACTTTAGTACAGTAACCCATGATGGCAAGCCAGATGAACCGGTATTCCAGTGGCACACAGCCCTGTTTAGAGGTCAGAGCCTGGAGAGAGAGCATGGCTCTGATTACCCTAAACAATACCTATACAACACAATACAATACCATACAACACCTTACAACACAATACAACACCACACCATACAACACCTTACAATACAACACAACACCATACAACACAGGAGACTAGCACTATGATGATATGAGCTCTGTGTCCAATGAAAGAGAGAGAGAGAGACTACATAAGACACATTTCTGTTTTACTTTCTTTCTCTTTCTACTATATGAGATACTGGCATGGCTCATGTAAAGACTGACCCATTTTAACATGAACCTGTAGCTTTGCCAGGTGGAACAGAACACAGGGGGTCTGCTGGGTGATTAGCTTAGCTCCAGATGCTCCTATACATCTTTTAGAGAATAACAACACCCCAAATGCACACTGCACCCTAAATCTAAATCCATTAAAAGTGGGTTAACAAGGCTTTGTTTTCCAGGGCATCTCAACGCCAACCTGCTTTCAAAACCAGGTTTTTGGAACCTGACTTGGCTAAGATGTTGAGCTGTACCGCAGTGCTTTCCATCAGCAACAGGATAAGCTACAACCTGGCTCTGCTGTGTAACACAATAGGTGTTATTATCAGCCTACACCTGAATGACATTACACTGCTCATTTAGTGTGTGTAGCAAGGAGAATGACCTCCAGCTGCACAGAGCTATGTGCTGCCTGCCTGCTGTGAGTGAAAGGCCTCATATTAGAACCATTTAGACTAAGGAGAACACAACTGCACACAGATATGACAGTGTCTTTCATAGTGTACTTTTAGAGAAAATAAGACTAGACAAGTTACACCAGATAAACAATGTGGGAGTCAGAAAATGTCTGAGAAGTACAGGCGTCCAAAGCCAGCCTGGCAAGTAGAGTAAAGGGAACCCTTGCAGATGAGGGAAGTGGAGGAGGACCACCTCTAAGCGCTCTCTGTCGGTCACTCAGTCCTGTGTCTCTCAGTTGAGAGAGAGGGGGGAGGGAGAGAGAGAGATGGAGAGACTGCTGTCCTGTTACTGTATGCCTGTAGTCACGTCATGGCTTAACCTTCCTCCTCCACTCATTTTGTTTTGTTTGTTTTTCCTCCCTGGAGTCTTGTCTCTTCTAGCAGAGGTTAAAACACCTGGTCTCTCCAGTGTTGTCATTGTCACCTGCCCTCTGAGTCAAAAGATGCCCATGAAGAGAAAGAGAAAACTTGTTAATTTCAACATTCTGGGATGGCTATTGCACCTGTGTCCAGTAGAGTAATTTACCTAACATCACATTACCCTGCAGTATATACACTGAGTCTACAAAACATAAAGAATACCTGCTCTTTCCATGACATAGACTGACCAGGTGAATCCAGGTGAAAGCTATGATCCCTTATTGATGTCACTTGTTAAATCCACTTCAATTAGTGTAGATGAAGGGGAGGAGACAGGTAAAATAAGGATTTTTAAGCCTTGAGACAATTGAGACATGGATTGTGTAAGGGTGCCATTCAGAGGGTGAATGTGCAAGACTAAAGATTGAACGGGGTATGGTAGTAGGTGCAAGGCGCACCGGTTTGTGTCAAGAACTGCAACGCTGCTGGGTTTTTCACGCTCAACAGTTACCGGTGTATCAAGAATGGTCCACCACCCAAAGGACATCCAGCCAACTGTGGGAAGCTTTCGACACCTTGTAGAGTCCATGCCCCGACGAATTGAGGCTATTCTTAGGGCAAAATGGGGGGGTGCAACTCAATATTAGGAAGGTGTTCCTAATATTTGGTATACTCACTGTATATTGAAATTAGCATAATGATGGTGAAACAGTCTAAACTGAAAGCATGCCCAGTTTCAATTGAAGGACAGACTTTGCATGTGCTGATGTGCCATTTGGAAAGTGACACGCAGAAAGCATTTCCTAGTCCAAGTCTCTGCAGGGCTTGGAAGGGAAAGAGGCTGGCCAATCAAGAGGTTGAAATTCTCTGGTGATTTTCTGTTTTTCATTTGGGGAGAGGTTTGTTGAATTTTTTGTTCATTGTGGTCGGTAACAGATTCTCTAGATCAGGGGCGTCAAACATACGGCCGCGGGCCTGATTGGGTCCAATCCGGCCCGCGGGTGGTTTGAATAAAAATAAATAAATAATAACAATAATATTTTTGGGGCTGGGATAAACAAAATCAGTATACTTAAAAATAACTAAAAACTAATCGAAACTGTGTAGAAATGATAATGGACCTACATTCATACAGTTTCTTGACTGTGTCCACCTCACTAATAATCACCGAAATGAAAGCTAGACAGTCAGGAAGCATCTAAAATTCCAAAAACGATGGATAGAGGACTATTTCTATGCACATTTTGACAGCAAGGAAATAATAACACATTTTCAGTGCGGCCCTCCGGACCTCGTTGAAGACCGAATGCGGCCCCTGGGCAAAATTAGTTTGACACCCCTGCTCTAGATCTTGAGCAAAATTTGTGAGACATACTCAACATAGACGAGAAGCTTATTCAAACAGTGCATGACCAAGTGACGTGGTCTGATGGCATTAATAATATCATCTATTGCGCGCTGTGTGTGTGTGTTTGTTTGTTTGTGTGTATGTGCGCGTTTGTGTGCTTGCGTGTGTTTGTATGCATGTGTGTGTGTGTGTGTGCGTGCGTGAGTATTCCTAGGTGTGTGCTGGGTTATGTAAGGTGTTTCTTTAAGCTGATGATTATTAAGATAGATGATTGTATGGCCCAGGCACGGCACGCAGTATGTTTTGTACTCTGGCATTAAGTGACACAGTAAGCTGATTCCCAGGGTCTTGGGTATTCAATCCACTAGAGAGACTGGGTCCGCATACCATGACTTCATCTAGCTGATTCACACTCATGTTAAATGATAGATGCGTCTTTCTATTCTTTGGGATATGAACCCTGGGAATCCATCTCTCTCTGTGCATCATTACTGTTTAAGGAGAACGCCTCCCCCCTCTTGTCTCATGAAGCGATCTAGACATGAAGCTTTCCTATTTCAGCTAGCAGACAGATTGAGCTCAACCTGTGTTCCTCTTTTCATTCACAGGCTCACTGCTGGAGAAAATTCTGCCGTTTGATTACATATATGCAGAGGGGGTTGAAAAGAGAACACACAGAAGACTGTTATGTATAGAACACCTGCCTCCGAATTACATCTTCAAACTAAGGGCAACCATGGCATCTGTGACAGAGAGGGAGAAGCGTTCATCCAAGTATACGGGTAAGATAGTCTAGCTAGCTACATTTTCAGATATTATACGTTTCTAATTTTGTCAGAAAGTCATTTTCATTGCAAGTTAAAGCGTACTGCTAGCTAGCTAGCTAACGTTAGCTGGCTGGCTCACTAGCTAACGTTACGTGTATGATCTGTGTAATAATATTATTTGTCTCTCAGAGCCATTTGCATTGCTAGTTATAGCCCAATGTTAGCTAGCTAGCTAACATTGAACCTAGTTGGTTAGCTTTAGCTACAGATTCATGCAGGGTAGTAACGTTATGAGTTGGGATTATGGTTTATTGTTTAGCTAGCTAGCTACATGTCTAAACAAAAGACTTCACTATGCAAGTAACCATTTCAATGTACCATTTACACCTTCTGTATCCTGTGGATGTGACAAATAAACGTTGATTTTATTTGATATAGTGTGTGTTTATGGTAATGTAAAAAACAACATGACCTGCACCAAAGTCAAATTAGGATATAACGTTAGGCCAACGAGACAGTGTCCAAGTTCTAAAATTCTCCGGTAGAATGCCCTGCTTTTATTTCGTCACACTCACAACCGTAAGCTATTTTCTGTAATTAGCTCGCCATTAACTTGTAAATAAGGATCTTGTTGTGAGTTTATTTTCCTTTAATAATGAATACAAATTAGCTAAAGTTAAGACGTTGTCAGCATTGCAGTGAAGTTCTCCTGCAACAGGGTGATCAAATTAATATCCTACATCTGTAGCATCCAGTGGAGGCTGCTGAAGGGAGGACGGCTCATAATAATTTCTTGAATGGAGCTAATGGAATGGCATCAAACACATGGAAACTATGTGTTTGATGTATTTGATACCATCCCACTTATTCCGCTCCAGCCATTGCCATGAACCTGTCCTCCCCAATTAAGGTGCCACCAACCTCCTGTGGTAGCATCACTATAATCATCAGTAATGTCCCTGCTCCTCACCTGGGCAGGAAGACGCTCTCCACGACGTAGAAGTCCTGCATGAGAACATCTCTGTCAGGTTTGGAGGTCAGGTTGCCCACCGTGTAGCCGATGCCCAACTGGATAGCCCCTTTCAGGGCTGACGACGTGGTCTGAGGGTGAGGGACAACCAAACACACCAATCAACCAATCAACCAATCAATCAACCAATCAATTGATCAATTACATGTTTCTTTGTATGGTGCTTTTTACAAAGAGGCGTAAACTCAAAAGGGCAAGAAGGTAGCAAATTCCCTAGAACAGAATGGTACTAACTTCTGAGATACTGTACTAAGAACTGAGGCATGTTTTGTATAGGTCAGTGTAAGATGGGCGTTCAGGAATATACAATACAGTCAGAAAACAATGTCAGATTCTCTGAAACAAGCACGTTACAGTAATGACATTGAAAGCCAGTTGATGCCAAGATGGGAGGTTATTTTGACAAATGACACTGTTACATAGCTTCAATAGCTCTGAAAATGTCAAATGAATTACCTAGATGTTTCAAATAGCCTGCAATTTTTTGCAATAAGCCCTGTTACATTGTGTGTGCCAAAATCCCATCACCACCAGTGATGTCTAATCCAAATGAAAATACAGTAAAGCAGCAAATGGACTGTGAGCATGGCTTCCCAGGCATGCTATATCTGCAAGGTCAGGACATAATGTACTAACTGTGTAGAAGCAGGATATTAAATGGACATCAAAGGTGAAGGCTTCTTGGACTTCATCATAGTGATGAATGGGAATTCATTCCAACAACAATCACTGTGAAACCTCCCTTCATGGTTCTCATAAAAGGCCAATAAAATCCATCCAGAGAGTGAGTCAGTATGGAGGGATGAAACTTTACCTTCTTGTATGTTTTCTCTCCGCTTGTGTTCCGAGACCCTCCCACTCCATTTTCTGTGGTCGTTGACATCTGATGAGAGGAGAGCAGAAGATGAAGAAACTCACTAGTCACAAGATTAGTAAGAAATAAACAAAGTATTTTCAGGTGCTAAGTCAGTGGTACAGGAATACAGTCAATTCACACTGACTGACTAGGAATACATTCATCTTGGATTATTGCATAATGTCAACTCAAGACACAGCTCACAAAGACAGAGTTTTTTCCACAACCGTTTTGTCTCAGTCCAGACTAGATGAACACAGAGGCCTTCAAGTTTTACTTTGACTAATAGAACCATGTAGATTGATGAGGTATGCATTTTTTATCAAAAGAGAAATTGGCGTGCTCAGCTCAAACGTTTGTAGTGACAAAATGTCTTCAGGTGCATATAGGGAAGAGTTGAGCAATTTTTTACTAGGCTTGGGCGGTATACCGTATACCGGGGTACTTGCAAATAGCCACGGGATGGTTTTACAATACCATTGAAACTATTTATTTGAAGGTTTTCACACAAAATAATAATAAATACAGTGGGGAGAACAAGTATTTGATACACAGACGATTTTGCAGGTTTTCCTATTTACAAAGCATGTAGAGGTCTGTAATTTTTATCATAGGTACACTTCAACTGTGAGAGGGAATCTAAAACAAAAATCCAGAAAATCACATTGTATGATTTCTAAGTAATTAATTTGCATTTTATTGCATGACATAAGTATTTGATACATCAGAAAAGCAGAACTTAATATTTGGTACAGAAACCTTTGTTTGCAATTACAGAGATCATATGTTTCCTGTAGGTCTTGACCAGGTTTGCACACACTACAGCAGGGATTTTGGCCCACTCCTCCATACAGACCTTCTCCAGATCCTTCAGGTTTCGGGGCTGTCGCTGGGCAATACGGACTTTCAGCTCCCTCCAAAGATTTTCTATTGGGTTCAGGTCTGGAGACTGGCTAGGCCACTCCAGGACCTTAACATGCTTCTTACGGAGCCACTCCTTAGTTGCCCTGGCTGTGTGTTTCGGGACGTTGTCATGCTGGAAGACCCAGCCACGACCCATCTTCAATGCTCTTACTGAGGGAAGGAGGTTGTTGGCCAAGATCTCGCGATACATGGCCCCATCCATCCTCCCCTCAATACGGTGCAGTCGTCCTGTCCCCTTTGCAGAAAAGCATCCCCAAAGAATGATGTTTCCACCTCCATGCTTCACGGTTGGGATGGTGTTCTTGGGGTTGTACTCATCCTTCTTCTTCCTCCAAACACGGCGAGTGGAGTTTAGACCAAATAGCTCTATTTTTGTCTCATCAGACCACATGACCTTCTCCCATTCCTCCTCTGGATCATCCAGATGGTCACAGATGGCAAACTTCAGACGGGCCTGGACATGCGCTGGCTTGAGCAGGGGGACCTTGCGTGCGCTGCAGGATTTTAATCAATGACGGCGTAGTGTGTTACTAATGGTTTTCTTTGAGACTGTGGTCCCAGCTCTCTTCAGGTCATTGACCAGGTCCTGCTGTGTAGTTCTGGGCAGATCCCCTACCTTCCTCATGATCATTGATGCCCCACGAGGTGAGATCTTGCATGGAGCCCCAGACCGAGGGTGATTGACCGTCATCTTGAACTTCTTCCATTTTCTAATAATTGCGCCAACAGTTGTTGCCTTCTCACCAAGCTGCTTGCCTATTGTCCTGTAGCCCATCCCAGCCTTGTGCAGGTCTACAATTGTATGTCCTTACACAGCTCTCTGGTGTTGGCCATTGTGGAGAGGTTGGAGTCTGTTTGATTGAGTGTGTGGACAGGTGTCTTTTATACAGGTAACGAGTTCAAACAGGTGCAGTTAATACAGGTAATGAGTGGAGAACAGGAGGGCTTCTTAAAGAATAACTAACAGGTCTGTGAGAGCCGGAATTCTTACTGGTTGGTAGGTGATCAAATACTTATGTCATGCAATAAAATGCAAATTAATTACTTAAAAATCATACAATGTGATTTTCTGGATTTTTTTGTTTTAGATTCAGTCTCTCACAGTTGAAGTGTGCCTATGATAAAAAATTACAGACCTCTACATGCTTTGTAAGTAGGAAAACCTGCAAAATTGGCAGTGTATCAAATACTTGTTCTCCCCACTGTATATATGTGTAGCTAATTTTTAAGTAAATACCTGCAGTCATCTTGTGTAAGACATAAGAAAATCAAGCAGATCGTGTTCATCTTGGATTATTGCATAATGTAAACTATAGTGCAACTATAGTTTTCCTTCACAGAAATATTAGTGCAACACATTCGGCAGAAAATAGCTTCAACAGAAGTGCAACGCTATTTGGCTGGCAGCCACACAAGTAAATTAGTTTACAATTAAAAAGCAAGGTATTTTTTCCAAAAAACGATATCTCCGATGTTTATCATAAAAATAATGTAGCCAGCTTCATTACCTAATGTTTCGCTTAAAGTTAATCTTGCAATTTACCGGAGAAGTAGGCTGGCTACACTGACAAAAGTACTGGAAAAGGTAGCTACACATCAGTCAGAACTCTGTCTGCTGATACATGAATTCTCATCCAAGTGGAGAAGTGCAACTGAAGCACTAAATTAGTTTGATGCCGAGCAGAAATTACAATAAGAAGCATTTTAGATCTGCGTTTACAAAACGCAGCAAGATATTTCTTATGCGTTTTATCTTTTTTTCCTGCGTGAATTCTGCGTTAACGCAACCGCTAAGTTTAACTTGCTAGTTATCTAAGTAAGTAGCTTAATTAATAAAGTGACGGATCATCATATTGTGTTTGCTTTCTACTGTGTTTGAGAAGTCAAAGCCCTTTGGATGAGTTACACTATTATGGCCAAAAGTATGTGCTCGTCGAACATCTCATTCCAAAATCATGGGCATTAATATGAAGTTGGTCCACCCTTTGCTGCTATAACAACCTCCACTCTTCTGGGGAGGCTTTCCACTAGATGTTGGGACTTGTTTCCATTCAGCCACAAGAGCATTAGTGAGGTCAGGCACTGATGTTGGGCGATTAGGCCTGGCTCGCAGTCGGCATTCCAATTCATCCCAAAGGTGATCGATGGGGTTGAGGTCAGGGCTCTGTGCAGGCCAGTCAAGTTCTTCCACACTGATCTCGACAAACCATTTCTGTATGGACCTCGCTTTGTGCACGGGGGCATTGTCATGCTGAAACAGGAAAGGGCCTTCCCCAAACTGTTGCCACAAAGTTGGAAGCACAGAATCGTCTAGAATGTCATTGTATGCTGTTAAGATTTCCCTTCACTGGAACAAAGGGGCCTAGTCCGAACCATGAAAAACAGCCCCAGACCATTATTCCTCATCCACCAAACTTTACAGTTGGCACTATGCATTGGGGCAGGTAGCGTTCTCCTGGCATCCGCCAAACCCAGATTAGTCCGTTGGACTGCCAGATGGTGAAGCGTGATTCATCACTCCAGAGAACCAATGCTCCAGAGTCCAATGGCAGCGAGCTTTACACCACTCCAGCCGACGCTTGGCATTGCGCATGGTGATCTTAGGCTTGTGTGCGGCTGCTCAGCCATGAAAACCCATTTCACAAAGCTCCCGACGAACAGTTCTTGTGCTGATGTTGCTTCCAGAGGCAGTTTGGAACTCGGTAGTGAGGACAGACGATTGTTACGTGCTGCACGGTTCAGCACTCGGCGGTCCCGTTCTGTGAGTTTATATGGCCTACCACTTCGCGGCTTAGCCGTTGTTGCTCCTAAACGTTTCCACTTCACAATAACAGACGCCCAATGGGCTTTTTTGTTATTCTTTTGGGAGAGAAGGAAGGTATGAAGATATGAAAATCTGGATACCGCCCAACCCTATTTTTTACATTCAGCATCACTCTCACACAAATATAGTGTTCTTTCTAACAAAGATATCTACATACATTTCAGAATGTTGTGTATCCCTGGAAATAATCAGACTTCATGTCAACATTACAGTTTTGAAAACATAGCTTGTCCCAAAAAAGTGGTCTCTTGGGACAACTTACCCCAGGTATGGGGTAAACTGAGTCGCGGGACGGGTAAGTTCAGCCGCCTACAAACTTCTGTACTGAATGAAATATTTCCACTACCTTTTTAAAACCATGTCTATCTTTATTTCCCAAACAAAATTCAACACAATCACTTTTTGGTCTTTTAATCCTCTTTTAACACAGACTTAACACCTAACAAACACTTTGTACTTTTTTTAACATAGGCCAGGCCCGGTTGTTACTTCATATCCCAGTGATAATGCTTTGCATTATGCCTGGGAAGAAAACACTTCAACTTGCCGTTGGCTCAATTTACCCAATGGCTCAACTTACCCAAACATTTTGACTATATTAGCCCACACTGCTACAAGGACGCACTTTCATGCTATGTTTAGGTCCTCATATCGAAGTTTATAGAGACCCCAACTGATGTATAGAACAATCTTAGATACAAACATCATGAAACCTCTAACACAATAAATTAATTTGACTTGATGAAAATCTGTGTTCACTCTAGACATTCATTCATGCTGAATTGCTCCTTAAAGCTTAACTCTTAAGAAGTAGCCTTAATGTGAAGATGTAAAGCTAACGCAGTATATCTACAGTATCTGGAAGTGATGTTGATCAATAGGACCCTGCAGATAGGAGTGTCAGTGTGAAGCAGGTATAATGAGCCCACCTTGCTTAATGAAAAGCTCTGCCAGTGGAACTGAGATCACGACCACATCTCTTAGTCATCAGGCCCTCCAGTCATGGGGGTATTTCAATCCACAGAGACCCTCTGGAAGAGGAGAGAGGACATAGAGAAAATAGTCCATTACATTACTATCATTACAGAGTGAAAGAACAGTAGAAGAATGCCCTCCGCTTCAATATTAAGCTGTTCCTCTGATGTTTGAATAGAAGTTTTAATTAACAGGGACATTCCGGCAGATATGCCTGTGTTTTCATTATTGGAGCAATTTTTGCAGATGGCCCCTGAAATAATTTATTTAATAGTTTTTGTTAATTTCCACCAGTTATCAAAGGGAATGTAATCTATTTCAAAACCCAAAGCGATTAATAATCCCGCAGCAAATGAGACAATCTCTGAGATGGCTAGACAATGGGGTCTTTCAGTGCATTTATTAGTGAGTTTGCATAGTGTGTGTGTATGTGTGTTTCCTCCCCAGCCCTCCTGGCTTCCCTCCTTAGAGCTGTTGTTCAGGAGCAGAGAAACAATGGTCTCCCTGCTGTCAGTCACTCCAAAAATCACCCTCCACACACAGCCATAACAAGACTGATGCTGCAGTCATAACATCACTCACACCTCCATAATATCACCCACACCTCCCCTCTCCTTCCCCCTCTCCTCCCCCAATGAGAAGCTCTGAAGTGGGGGTAGATGGGGAGATAGAGGGGTGTATGAGCAGCCATGCCTACTGCACTAACTGTGCTGGATAAATGACTCCTTGTAAAGCACAAAGACAGACTGCAGACCCTGAGTGTACTGTATGAGGAGTAATGGTGCCTCAGCCCCAGGCAGCACAACCAAGCTCTTATTCACCATTCAGCCAAACATCAGTGTGTGTGTGTGTGTGTGTGTGTGTGTATGCGCATGTGTGCCTAATGAGAACATGTCAGCCAGTGTAAAGTGTCTTGTTGTTTAATATGACAGAATATAAACTACGGAGAAGTACAGTACAGGGAGAGAAATACACAAGCGGGGAGAGAGTGAGAGAGGGAGAGAGAAAGAGACCGAAATAGAGAGAGCAAGATCGTGGGGCCATTGAGACAGAAAGATATTGGACGTGTTTCAATGTTTTCTTTCTGTGACTGTCTGCTAACCTCCAGCTCAACCTGCAGTGGCCTCACCTGCTGCATATCAATGTACCTTCTACTCAGAGCATAGCTCAGTCAGTCAGTCCACCCACCATTATTATTTAAGCTCTGCCTGTGTTCCCCCTGCAACCGATCAGCACTCCTTATCAGCTCTGTGTCCAATCAAATCTTACTTTATCAGACATGTGTTCACTCTGGTGAGCCTCCATCCAATTAGCATTGTCTGTGTGTGTTGCTCTTGTGCGACTGCATGTGAGCGAGGAACCAAAATGTCACATTTACAGCTATGATGTCACCTGTTGCATAGAGCTGGGCTCCCTCCCTCCCTAGTAGACAGGGGTTGGAACCGGTTCAGGGAACAGAACCGAAAACCAGAAAATAATGTCATTTTTCAAGGAACAGAAACGGAACGAAAGTGTTTCATACTCTTCCGGAACAGAAACATTATTTTAAAAAGCATGGGAACCGGTTAATAACTTTATTTTAAGTTCCAAGCATTTTTTTTTTGTCCCACAAAAAACGCAACAAAGCACCTATGCAAAGCCCTGACTGTCACTCAGAAACGTATTCCAGTGTCTGCCTGCCTGCCAGCCAGCTGAAAATCTTTGCCGGTGTGTGTGCGTGTTTAGGCTACCTGCCCCTCTCCCTCCAAAGCATAGGCTACTGTACTGACGTTACGAGCTTGCTAGCTCAAAGGACATTCAAAGTTCCTTCATAGAAGCCGCTCCTCCTAGGTATAATTCTGTGGACCTAATTCAGTGGCGCAGTGGTCTAAGGCACTGCATCGCAGTGCTAGCTGTGCCACTAGAGATCCTGGTTCGAGTCCAGGCTCTGTCAAGGCCGGCCGCGACCGGGAGACCCATGGGCCGTGCACAATTGGTCCAGCGTCGTCCAAGGTAGGGGAGGGTTTGGTCGGCAGGGATGTGGGTTCGTTTCCCATGGGGGGCCAGTATGAATTTTTTAAAATAATAAATAAATAAACAAACATGTATGCATTCACTAACTGTAAGTCGCTCTGGATAAGAGCGTCTGCTAAATGACTAAAATGTAAATGTAAATAATGCATGTCATAACAAGATGTCCAGCACTTCAAGCCTCCTCCTCAACCCTCTCTTGCTCTCTCCCCCACCCGCAAAATGTTGGTCGCATCGCATCTTGCGCCATAGGCTACACTTGTCTGTCCATCACGCATGTAAACAACTAGCTTGCCTGCTCTATCCGCACTGATTGGTGAAGTCATTTAATGAGCTAAATGTAAAAAACTGTTGATTTCACAGGTTAAAAAAAGAACAGAAAGGAACTATATAAACCAGTGCTTTTTGGGGGTTTGAACCAGTTCAGAACTTTATTTTGCTGGTCAGAACAAAAATAAATTGTGGTTCTGTTCAGAATGAAACGATTGGAAAATAATTTCAGTTCCAATCCCTGCTAGTAGATATCTGTGAGGAAGCGTATCAGCCTTAAGACAACTACAGGAAATAAATACTAGGGATGGGCATTTGACAGAATGTCTGTGTTCAAGTACTCTCATGAAAATAATGTTGAGTACTCGAGTACTTGCATGTTAGTGTGAAACAGGGCTAAAGGCAAAAATGTATGCGGTATGCTATTGGTTTTTCCAATTACTGGTTGTTCTGATACACAACTGAAAACAAAACGTAACATATTTTTACTGCACTTGACATAATCCCAACAATAAACACATTGAAGTGTTTGACATTTTTTCAGAGCATATACATTTTACCTGCTAAATAGTATTTCAATTCTACGGGTTACGTCATCTCATTATACGCCAATGATATCTTACTTGATCTACACAATGTATGCCCATACTCCAAAATTTCACAATAATGCCTTGCGATCTGGAGGGCGGTCTTTTGCATCCCCCCAACGGTCCAAATGTGGAATCCGTACCCTTGCCGATATCATGGACAGTAATGGTTTAAGAACATTCCAAGATTTGAAAGACATTCATATTATCAGGCAACTCCTTTTTTCTATATTTACAACTTAGGACAGCTATGCTGGCCTATGGACTCCCTTGGGAAACCCAACTACCGAACCATCCAATGATTGTATTTATAAATAAATTATCTGGGCTCCCGAAAGGAATGATCTCTATAGTATATAAAACAATTTTTGGAAAGCTCATATTCTGAGCTAGCCATTCAAAAAGTATTGTCCACAGATCTAAGTGAATCTGAACAACCCTTTAACTGGAACAGAAAATGGAAAAATATGACATTGGCATCCCGTAATCCAAACCATCAATTTATACATTAAGTTTGTTCACAGACTGTATTTAACACTAAGGAAACGTTTCACGATAAAATTGGCCCCAACTCCCAACTGTTCCTTCATATGATGTGGGAGTGCCCTGCAGTTAAATACTTCTGGGACAAATTTACAAAATTCATTTCGAAGTGCATGAACGTAAATATTCAATGATTTGCATCTACATGTACATTTTACATGTACATAATTTAGCAGACGCTCTTATCCAGAGCGACTTACAAATTGGTGCATTCAACTTATGATAGCCAGTGGGACAACCACTTTTTTTTTTTTTATGGGGGGGTGGGGGAGGGGGGGTGGGGGGGGTAGAAGGATTACTGTTATACTATTCCAGGTATTCCTTAAAGAGGTAGGGTTTCAAGTGTCTCCGGAAGGTGGTCAGTGACTCTGCTGTCCTGGCGTCGTGGGGGAGCTTGTTCCACCATTGGGGTGCCAGAGCAGCGAATAGCTTTGACTGGGCTGAGCGGGAACTGTGCTTCCGTAGAGGTAGGGGAGCTAGCAGGCCAGAGGGGAATGAACGTAGTGCCCTCGTTTGGGTGTAGGGTCTGATCAGAGCCTGAAGGTAAGGAGGTGCCGTTCCTCTCACAGCTCCGTAGGCAAGCACCATGGTCTTGTAGTAGATGCGAGCCTCAACTGGAAGCCAGTGGAGTGTGCAGAGGAGCGGGGCGACATGAGAGAACTTGGGAATGTTGAATACCAGACGGGCTGCAGCGTTCTGGATACGTTGTAGGGGTTTAATGGCACAAGCAGGGAGCCCAGCCAACAGTGAGTTGCAGTAATCCAGTGCCTGGATTAGGACCTGTGCCGCTTTCTGTGTAAGGTAGGGTCGTACTCTGCGAATGTTGTAGAGCATGAACCTGCAGGATCGGGTCACCGCTTTGATGTTAGCGGAGAACGACATGGTGTTGTCCAGGGTCATGCCAAGGTTCTTTGCACTCTGGGAGGAGGACACAATGGAGTTGTCAACCGTGATGGCGAGATCATGGAGCGGGCAGTCCTTCCCCGGGAGGAAGAGCAGCTCCGTCTTGCCGAGGTTCAGCTTGAGGTGGTGATCCGACATCCACACTGATATGTCTGCCAGACATGCAGAGATGCGATTCGCCACCTGGTTACTACTATGTTACTGAACAATGATAGCTCCTTGAATCTCTCAATACATCAGAGAAGATTTTGTTAGAGCCTCACTTCTTTTTCTTTCATACATACTTTTTATTTTACATACTACATTTATTGTTATTTTTGGCTCCAACAAGAAAATAAAAAAATGTATAAAGATTTGGTCACAAAAAAAGTTACATTTGTAGATTTCAAGTACTTATTATTAATAATCGAATACAAACCTTGAAATGAGTACTTGAGTACTCACGCCCGTCCCTAATAAATACTGTATGCTCATTCACTAGGAAATAAGCTGTTGTTTTATGATGAGCACAACATTCAGTCTGGTTTAACCAGGCTAGAATTATCCATACATACATACATACATACTGAGAACATCATAACAATATACTGAACTAAATAAACAGTTAGTGATGTCATAGATATGGTTGTTGTGTGTAGGGTTGCAAAAGGAGGGTATATTACTTGAAACTTAAAAGAATTGTGGTATTCAAGGATTTTATGTAATCTATCACAAGACATCTAGTGGCAAAGCTGTAAAACATTATCCTAAATCACTGGCGATCGGTGCCGTTCAAGATTATTTCTTTTAATGAGCATGGCCTTATTTCTATTACAGCATATTTACATTTTAGTCATTTAGCAGACGCTCTTATCCAGAGTGACTAACAGGAGCAATTAGGGTTAAGTGCCTTGCTCAAGGGCACATCGACAGATTTTTCACCTAGTCGGCTCGGGGATTAGAACCAGCGACCTTTCGGTTACTGGCACAACGCTCTTAACCACTAAGCTACCTGCCGCCCCATATTTGAATGACTATCATTCATATTCCATTCACCCAGCTCAATGTAACATCAATAGGTTTAGGCTACTACATGGTTGCTACAACCTAGCCTATGAATTAAAGTCTACAACATAGGTGCACAGGTCGAGAGAATTTTGAGTAATCAAGGTGACAGACAGTGACACATTCAATGCCGCCTTGCACACTCTTGCCTGCACCTAGCTGATCTAGAGTGTACAGTGGCTTGCGAAGGTATTCACCCCCCTTGGCATTTTTCCTATTTTGTTGCCTTACAACCTGGAATTCAAGTCGATTTTTGGGGGGGTTGTATCATTTGATTTACACAACATGCCTACCACTTTGAAGATGCAAGAAAACTTGAGCGTGCATAACTATTCACCCCCCCCCCCCCCCCAAAGTCAATACTTTGTAGAGCCACATTTTGCAGCAATTACAGCTGCAAGTCTCTTAGGGTATGTATCTATAAGCTTGGCACATCTAGCCACTGGGATTTTTTCCCATTCCTCAAGGCAAAACTGCTCCAGCTCCTTCAAATTAGATGGGTTCCGCTGGTGTACAGCAATCTTTAAGTCATACCACAGATTCTCAATTGGATTGAGGTCTGGGCTTTGACTAGGCCATTCCAAGACATTTAAATGTTTCCCCTTAAAACCACTCAAGTGTTGCTTTAGCAGTATGCTTAGGGTCATTGTCCTGCTGGAAGGTGAACCTCCGTCCCAGTCTCAAATCTCTGGAAGACTGAAACAGGTTTCCCTCAAGAATTTCCCTTTATTTAGCGCCATCCATCATTCCTTCAATTCTGACCAGTTTCCCAGTCCCTGCCGATTAAAACCATCCCCACAGCATGATGCTGCCACCACCATGCTTCACTGTGGGGATGGTGTTCTCGGGGTGATGAAAGGTGTTGGGTTTGCGCCAGACATAGCGTTTCCTTGATGGCCAAAAAGCTCAATTTTAGTCTCATCTGACCAGAGTACCTTCTTCCATATG